AGCACAGCTATCTTTCTTGGATAGCTAGTATTGGACTCCTGCCTTAGCTTTTTTTAAAAAAAGAGATACTTGTAGAATTCTTTCCAACTATGCTTCTTGCAAATGTACTTAGAATGTACCTGAAGTTCATGATAAACTAAGTGGAATGCCTGATAAACTGCTGTTAATGGTTGGATTTGCTCAGACTTTGTAATGCTGCTTTGAGCAAACTCTCTATGAAGAATAGGATCAGAGTTGGAGCAAAGCAGTAATGGTTACATTGGGAGTTCTGTGTATGTGTTGAATGTTTTTGCCAGCTTCATGACTTAAAATTAAACAATGCCATTTTCATAGCTTTATATTTTAGACTGCCTCAATGTGGGGCATGTTATGTAAATTCTTAAAAGTAATTCAAGGCTGTTTTATCTTACTACTTGTGTATACTTAATTTAGAAAGATAACACACAACCTGCTCCCCAGTGTAGAGTTGGGTGGTCATTTAAAAAAAGTTTTTAAAAATGCAAGCTTGGAAGTATACCCAAATCAGGACTTGAGTTAGCATGGATAAAGTTGGGCTGTAAGAATGGGCATCCTTACTAAATTGGATTAACTGAAATTAACCTTTTAATTAATCAAATTAGCCTTTGATTTGTTTACAAAAGCTCAGTGGGGCTGTTAAGGACAGGACACTTGGAGGGCATTGACTTCATAGGGTTGCCAGAAATCAGAGATGACTGGATGGTGTGTGACAACAACTTTGACTAGAATGCAGCGCATACTAGGAACACTATGGCACATAGCAGCTGCTATTGATAGTAGTGTTACATTGAGTATTTTAAAATAAATCCTGTTTAGAGTTGATTTCCTTTTAACATGCAGGGAACCTAAATTCTTTAATTCCTTGGTAAATTACAGGACACTCATTCAGAAGGTGAGGATGATGAAGTTGACTGAAAACAATTCACCTTGCTCTTTAAATCATAGGTACTGGCACTGAGAATTTTTTCAACTTCAGATCAGTCACCTCTGTGTTGTCAGGACACAGCCTCTTGTGCCCTCTGTATGTCTTGGACTGCAACTCCTATCACCCAAGCTAGTGTGGTTATATTAGCTAGGTATGATGGAAGTTGTATTCTGATATATCTGAAAGTATACTAAGGTTCAGAAAGGCTGCTCTGTGGGCTTACTATACTTGCAATCCAAACACTGCAGCTTTATCCATATGCAGGAGAGTAAATATGAAAGGATCTAAAAAAATATTTGGGTGCATATTTGGAGGTTTAAAAAGTATAGGAAAACAAAACCTACCAATTTGTGGTTACAACCACTTATTTTGAAATAGACCTTAAAAGAGGAGACAAAATTGGATTAATCATCCTCAAATAGAAATTAGTAGTCTCTTACAAAGTCCAACAAAGAGTCCTGGCAAATTCCAAGTTAACATGACATAAAAAGAAACATGAGACTGAAGTCTCAATTCACCGTGTGTGTTAACTCCTGCCCCAGTATATTGGTTTCATCTTTTGAGGTACTGCAGGACTTGTAGTTCTCATAAAAGCAGAGCTTTATTCTGAATCGTACATGTTGATTAAACATAAGATGGCTGTCATTGCTGGAGGACTTCACATTATATGGCATTCCAAGTCTCTTCATGTGCAGCTTACCAAATTGTGGAACAGTGCATTTATTAATACACTAAACTATGCAGTTCTAAAATGCGTGTATATGTGTTAGATAAATGTGATAGTCGCAGTTGGTTAAACATACAGGCTGAAAAGTTTGGAATACTAACTAGCATCTCCGACTCAATAGGCTTTGCGGTGTGTACATTAGTTCTTAAAATGGTGACCCCTGTTTAATGTTGGCTGTTTCGGATAATATTAGCAAGTCATGTAGAGATTAAATGGGGGTAGAGGGGAGAGAGTCAAATGTCAAATACTGCCTAGTGTAATTGCCACAGAATGTGAACTATTAGATACAGCAACATGAACAATATGACAGATTTGAGTTAGACTATTCATGGGATGTGGCACAGTGTTCTGCTTGGAGGATGGGGCTCGTTACAGTTAAGATGTTTTCCATATGTCAGCCTTCATCAAGGGCTGTGCAAAGCAATTATATCCTGTTCTGCACATCTTGGGTGTGGGGTGTCCTCAGGGTGCTATGGTGCTGTTTGCCAAGGCCATGGTGTATGTGGGATGGGAAAGCCTCAGATGGTGTTAATTGTACATAAATAACATTTGTATTTTTTGACTCTCTCCTGGGAATGTAGTGCTGGAAAGTGCCAGATTGACTGCTCTGGAGACTGAAGTCCTTCCTTCACCAAAGCAGGTTGAACCCAAGCAACATGAGTGCAAGTCTTCCTCACCACTGTATTACTGCCTTGCATGTGGAAGGCCATATTGTGGGGTGAAAGGGGATTTCAGTCTCCAAAGCCCACTTGGTCCTTTGGCCTTTCCACCACAGGGTGAATTCACAAATGCGGACCTTAAGTGCAAATGCTTCACATCTGGATTGAAGCCACACAAAGATCTCTGCAAGCAATCACAAGCTGGTAACGCCTGTTTCCATTCCCCACTCAGCTGCCAAAAGTTCTTGGATATTTCCCTTCATATGATTGAATAATAGCCTGTTGATTCCTTCCAGCAATGGATTCACTTTTTAAAATAACCAAATTCAAGAAGTTAGAAGAATGTAAGACCACACCAGGATCTAAGGCTCTGCTGCTTTAGGGGAAACATAAGCAACCTATGCTGAGAAGAGTGAGTTTTGTACTCAAGGTACATGCTGCTTTATCAAAAGAATGGAAGACACACACTGGTGTTAACACCTCTTCTATGGAATGCAACTCAGTTGATCACTAGTTGACCTCTGGAATGATAATTAAATTAGAATGACTTGTTTTAAAGATTCGATGCAGCACATGCATTAATAAGCATAGCTAGACTTCTGCTGTAGCAGTATTGTCACAGCCTATTCAAGACAACACAAAAGTGGCATGTTAGTCAACCATGTAGTTGTCTCCTTTATACATCCCTGGGGCTTCATGGGTTCAAGAGAAAATACAAGGGAGTGAAGTGTACGATCTAGCAATAAATCGCTTGTTACATCAAACCTGCAAAGACTCCACTTGCTTAACAGAGTTGCCCACCTGAGCTATCACTGCATGGTGTGTTTTATGAACCATGGACCCTTACATAATTCAGGTGTGTTACATGTAGGATAAGGCTCAAGACACAAGTGGTGTCTGAACCTAAGGAAGGTTATCTGAAAGTAATTGCAGGCTACACCTCAGAATATTAACTAGTGTTAAAATGTTGAAACCAGGTATTTAAAGGAAGGTACAATCATTAAATTGGCAGGCTATGTATTTTAAATCTATTTGTGCAAGTGAAGAACACGAGTTTCCCTTCAGAGCCTAATCTCAAGGGGTGGTTGTGAGTGGCATGCTTTCCTATCTAAGTTGTTAGGCATGCTGTGCCAGGAGTTAAAGGAAGAAAAGCATCTACTGCTCCAGATTAATAGTAAGGGACTCAGCTACAATTCAGCAAGCTGTCAGGCTTGTATATATGACAAGCTTGCACTGGAGCAGATAAATAAACTAGTATTCCTCACTAAATTTAGCTCTATTATCTACTGCATTTTAAGAGTATACACTAGGCAGCCTCTAAGAGCTTGATACAATTACAGTAGGAAAAACCATGCTTTAATTAAACCTGCATGAATGTTGGGCCTTATTCAGATAGTTTTTAAAAACTTGATGCATATCCAGTGACAAATTCCTCAAGTCAGGCAATCCAAAGTAAAGTTACAGGGTTTTCAGCTGCCTGACTTTCATCTGCAATTTGCATGAGTGCTTTCTGAGCACACAACCTTGGTGGGCCCTGTCACCTAATTAAAAACGCAGTGTGATGCAACCAAGTGTCTGGTTGTGCTTTTGGCACTCGGCTGGTTGAATATTGCTCCTAGACCAACAATTGGCAAGTACTTCATTGGAAGATGGAACTGGAATAGAACAGCTGCAGGAACAACAAAAAGGAGCTGTGCCACGGTTCTTCACTGTGCCTTCCAAATAGCAACCTGACCTGCTAGATCCAAGATGCCTTTATCAAGTTCCAGTGGAATAATTGCATCAAACAATACTTCGAAGATCTCGGGGATAGCCCATAAGTAGGCTTTGTAGGCATTGATCTGTTCAAGCCTGCAGTAAAGTTTTATGTGCTATATTACTGTATTTAAAAAAAAATGTAACTGGAATGTTGAAATACTGTATCACCAATAAAATTTGATTCTGGTAAGCACTTGGTGACTATTAATATGTAGTCATAAGAGCTTGTTAAAAGTCTTGATGTCACAAGCTTCACAATATTAAGTGTGTCAAACAAAAATTAGGAAAGAAGGTAGAAGGTTGCAATATTATGCTTAGATATAGGAGTAAGCTGTATAGAACACAGTGTTGAGTAACTTCTGAATAAATTGGATTATGCTGTAATGTCCGTAGAAGTAGATTAAATCACAGTTAGGATACATATAAATGATAGGCCTCCGCTGATCAAAAGTTGGGTTACATAGTGTCATGGTTTTCAAGTAACAAGTGTTACCAATACTAACAAATAATAAGCACAGACTAGAAAATGGCTGCAATGGGCTCTTGTTAAAAAAGTTCTAATGTCTTTGTGAATGTGATGATTTATCAATGCAAAGATGAGGAATTCTTCACTGCCTTATGAAGATACCTTTCCCCTATCTTTTATCTATCTGTTTTCCTGAACATTGGCATGTATATTTGAGGAAACTTGTCTGCACTCCCAAAATTAATCAAGATTGCTCTTGATATGTAACAATCCTTTCCATCAAAAATATATTGATAACTGAAAACTTATTCAGGATGTATGATAATACTTTTCACTTCGTAGAGCTGCAAGCTGCTGCAAGAGATGTTGGTTCAGCATTGTAAATTTTTTTTTTAAATTTTGGAAGAGAGTTGTGGCTATAGTAACCATCCTGTATGTTTTTAACAGAATTTTCCATCATGGGCTCCAGACCAATAGATCCGAAGGAACTCCTGAAAGGACTGGACTGTTTCCTTGGTAAAGATGGAGAAGTCAAAACACATGAAGGCATCACTAAAATTTTCAAGTAGGTTTTTAGCAAAGAACACTCCTGAACTGCTTTTTGTCATTTGTGAATACTGGACTCTTAGAACCTTTGACTTCCATCAGTTCTTATTTAAGGGTAATTTTATTTTTTGGTGCACTATAGTGGTGATTTGTACAAAAGGGCCACTAAAGGGAGAAATTTTAAAAACTCTTATTCATTCTTCTATCCACTGTTTTATACATGATATGGAAACCTACTTGAATCCTGTTTAGCTGTTCTGTAAGAAATAATTAAACCACTAATGCTATTATCAGATTTATTTGATTCTGAAATGCACATAGTAGTACAAGGTTTTGATAAGAATTCTGAAAAAGGTCAAAACAAAATTAGGAAGATTCTTAAAAATTGAATTATTATCTTAAATACAATCTCTCTATACCCTTCTCCCAACTATTTCTTACAAATATTAACTGGAGCCTAGTCCTCTGGTTAACAATAGTGCATTTCCAGCAACACTGAAGATTTTTGTCTTTATTTTTCCTAATTACAGTTTAATGAAAGATGCACAGAAGATGGTTAGTCGCTGCACCTACCTGAACATCTTGTTGCAAACCCGAGTGCAAGATATACTTGCAGAGTAAGAGCTGAATATTTCATGGAATAGAATTGGGTCTGCTAGTCCTAAAGGCAGAGGGAGTTCTGTGGACTATAAAGGAACAGGCTGGGAAGTCTTGAATGCTGACTTCTAGAGTTTTTTATTAATTAGTTGTGACTATGTTTTCAGTCAGACTTCTAAGTCATTGGCATATTCCTAACCAGTAGAAGGAAGAAGATGGAATTCTGGAGTGCTAGTGTAGATGGAAGTTACAAGGATGGAGGGAGTGGAAACACATTCAAGTTCCTTTACATTCTTGCCTTATTATATGTGGGTCTCTTAGAGATAGCCGTATAAATATTATTGCAGCATTATCTAGAAATAATGTACACCCCTGCAAATAATATAGCTCATTTTATATATGTGTTTGTCCTGCTGCAGATTCATCAAGGTTGGTGGCTATAAGCTCCTCAACACATGGCTAACTAACTCAAAAGCATCCAATAATGTGCCCCTTCTGCAGCAGATTCTGCTCACACTGCAGCATTTACCTCTTACAGTGGATCACCTGAAACAAGTGAGTCAATGAAGCAATGCTTGGATGCTGTCTTTTTGACTTGGCCTTTTGTAATGTTAGGTGGGATAAATGCTTTTCTTAAGTTGGGAGGGTCAGTAGGGTCACATCTTGTTCTGAAAGCAGTTATGTAAGGTAAAGCATTAAGAGAGCCTGCCTTGGTTCTACAGCCTGAGTTTCTGTTCCCTGTGATAATCTGGTGTGTCTCTCTCCTCCTCTCTCAGAACAATACTGCCAAACTGGTGAAACAGCTCAGCAAGACAAGTGAGGATGAAGGTAAAAATATGTTTGGGCAAATGTAGAATTCTGGCACATGCACTCCTGGGGTCTCCCTACAGTAGAAATCATTACATGCTCTTGCATTGGGTATTTAAGTTCTTTTCCTTTACAGAGCTCCGCAGACTGGCTTCCATACTGGTCAGTGACTGGATGGGTGTCATCCGCTCCCAGAGTAGTTCACAGCCTACAGGTGAGTGACTTTGTGCTGTTCCATAGATACTTATACTGCAGTAGTTTTGCAAAAGGCAAATTTAGCTGTTGGTCTTGTTTGAGGCTAGGTAGCTCTATCAGCCTTCCATATTTATCTTTTGTTTCATATATACCACTGGTATGTTTTTAAAAATTTCTAGTATTATGTTTATATATTTTCTAGGAGTCTAAAAACTTGATAGGCTGTTTTAGCTCTAATAGCGAAAACTAGGGATTAGTCTGTAGACATGGTAGCACTTCACTCTAAAAAGACTAATAAGTGTTAATGCTTTCTTTGTAGAACGAGAGAAGAAAAAGCGAAAGGAGGAGAATAAAAGCAAAGCACCTGTTCAAGAAAAGCCTCAGGAGGCCAAATCAGAAGCCAAGCCTGAGGAGACACCTGAGAAGAAGAAAGAAAAGCCAAAATCTCTCCGTACCACAGCACCCAGCCATGCAAAATTCCGTTCCACTGGTAAGATCTATGTGTAGGTGTAACCACTTCATCCTGATATAAACAAAACTACATTTATACATAATGATAAACCAGGACTCTTGGTTTATCCTGGCTTACTGTGAATGAGTTGTGTGTTGCTGTATGCAGCCCAGTTGTTCAGCCTTTGTATCACTTATTCCTGTGAGCAGATGAACAAACCAAAACTTGTTTGCTTAGTCTTGATGTCTTAATCTTGGGAGAAACAAACCAGACTTGGGTGTAATATTAAGCAGAACCATTTCTGGTCAGCTTACCCACTTGCAGAAGCAACAAAGTTAAGAGTGAATTCATTTACAGTAATCCAAGAATCTAGCCTTGATATGTGTGATTACAGACAATGTTTAATGTTCAATACATATGCAAGAAAATGATACAAACTGTGTTGCTTTGCAATTTTTCTAGTTTCATTATCTGTCTTTGGTGGGTAAATGATCCATATTTGGCAAAGCATTCTAGGAGTCTTGGAGTTGCAGCTGGAAATGGGTCCAATAATCATTGTTACTGCTAACTTCCAGGTTTGGAAATGGAGACTCCATCACTCATTCCTATAAAGAAAAATAGCAATGCTGCAGTAACCTCTGACAAATACAACTTGAAGCCAATACCACTGAAGCGGCAGAAGTAAGTCTTTATGTGTATAAGAGGAAAGTTCCTGTGGCCTTCATCTCTGTGGGGCCTGTGCACCTGTTCAGCGCATGTAGTAGCTCCTGCAAGTGTCAGACAAGTGGAATTGGTTCATTTACTGCCTTCTGTGTGCAGGGAAGGTGAAAGATCAGCAAAGCTAGGCTTCCCAGCCCTGTCCGATTTGCATCTTTTCCCAAATGGAAGAAGGCATGGAACAGGCAAAGCAGGTTCACTTCACCCAGGCCTTCTCTAATCAGAAAATCTAAATGCAGTGAAGCTGTTTTGCAAAGGATGTACTTGGGTGTATCATCTTTGTGATACATATCTCTGGGATGAAAAGACATGGGAAGCATGTCCCCACTCTTTGCCAGGGGATGTAGCCATGGCCAGTGATATTGTTTGCCCTGCAAAAGGCTTGGCTAGGTGTCATCCAGGTTCCCATCTCATTCTGGTTGCTTCCCACTGTAGTAATTGGAGACAAGGGCACAAAATCATACAATCCATTTCCAGAGCATTGTGCAGTTCTACATACACTGGAGCAAGGAAGTTAGGACTAATATGCAAAAGCTGTGTTTTCACCAAAAAAAGATGGCATATATTGAAAGCTCCTGAGTTAAGGTTTGTGTCAAGGAGAGAACTAAGCTATGCATTCAGAAATAGGAATCCATTTGGACTGATAGGAATAGCCTCTAGTGGCCTGCCCAAGTGCCCTTTCTTCTTTTGACTGACTGCACCTTTCTCTGCAGCACATCTGCCGCCACTGGAGAGAACCTGCCTGCTGAAAAGAAATACAAGCCCCTTAACACAACTCCCAACACTACCAAAGAGATTAAAGTGAAAATTATTCCTGCACAGCGTAAGCTTTTAACATTTATTACTATGTACGTTTTAGCATAGATAAAAGATGATCTAAGAAGCAATGAGCTAAGTATTGTGTGCTAGAAGAATTGTTATTTAGAACTAAAGTGTTTTGCCACCTTTCTTGAGCAAGGCTGTAGCATCAAATGTTGACTTAGACTGTAGTCTTTCCACACTTACTTGGAGTATAAACATGCACAGAATTACTTTAAGAGGCTTTGATTGCAATATTATGTTTAACACCTTTTTCTCAATTCTCTAGCTATGGAAGGCTTGGGTTTTTTGGATGCCCTAAACTCTGCCCCTGTCCCAGGGATCAAGATCAAGAAGAAGAAGAAAGTGCTGTCTCCAACTGCAGCTAAGGTAAGCAAACAGTTTATTGAATCAAGCCAGAAATTCTAATTTCTCAGAAGTGCGATAGTCCTTATTGGTGACAAAGGATGTAGGAAATACGTAATAGTTGGTGTATGTTTCTTAACCTTCAGCCAAGCCCTTTTGAAGGGAAGCCAGCCCCAGAAACCAGTACTGCCAAGCCATCTTCACCAGAACTTACCCCTACGTCAGAGCCGATGGATGTGGATAGACCTGGCACTCCTGTGCCTGCTGTGGAGGTGCCTGAGCCCATGGAGACAAGTAAGGAACAGGAGAAGGATGTTCCGTGTAGTGGGGGGTTGAGTTGATACTGTTGCCTTGATGCTATGAACGCAAAAGGAAGTTCTTAACAAATTAGCTTTACATTGCCCGAAATACAACTGGCATGAACAATAACATGGCAGCTTGATGTATGAGGGATGTCTGTCAATCCTGGTATTTGAGATGTGTGATTTGCTGACTGCATGTGTGTGTTCTTGTACAGACTCCTCTGAGCAAGGTGGCTTGCTGGATTCCAAGCCAGCTGAAAGCCTAGCCGAGTCTGCACAGCTGACAAAGAAGGGCAAGAAGAAGAAGACAGTGAGCTGGCCTGAGGAAAGCAAACTGCGGGAGTACTTCTACTTTGAATTGGATGAGACTGAGAGAAGTGAGTGTCTTTCTGGGGAGAAACTTGAGCAGTTCAGAGGTTCTGTTGGAAGATTCCCATTGTGTTTTTAATACAGTTTAGTGATGACTATTCCATGTATTTAATCATACAGAAAGAGCAGTGACTGAGTCATGACACTAAATGATGTGTATGTCCAGGCTTTTAATTTTGATCACATAATAAGCATTTTGGACATTCTTGAGTTTTTCTCCTAAGTCTGTCTTTACAAGCAGTAGTTTTAAGGGCTTGATAAATGCATACATAAATATACTGATGCTTGGGATTTTTTCTGCTACAGGATGATTCTTCCTTTCTGTTTCTTTGATCTGTGATGATGGCTTTGGCCAAAGGAAATAAGAATATGGCTGATTTTATCTTTAAAGCAGTCACAGTGGGGTGATTGATAGGACAAAAAACATAGAAATATCATATGCAGTTCTCTAATCCAATGTTATTCAAGGTGTCTGTCAGAGCTTATATTCAACTGACTAGATATCCTCTATTCCACACGCACAGTCAATGTTAACAAGATCAAGGACTTTGGTGAGGCTGCCAAGCGAGAGATGCTGAAGGACCGCCATGCTTTTGAGACCGCCCGTCGACTCAGTCATGATGCCATGGAGGAGAAGATCCCCTGGGTTTATCCAAAGCTCATTGACTTGCCTGCTCCACTGGTACAGCCAGGAAGCGGCAGTCAGGAAAAATTCACCCAAGCCGAAAGGGAGAAGGGCATTTTACAGGAAATTTTCCTCTCAAAAGAGAGGTGAGTGAAGGCCAGTTGACTTGAAAGTGTGCATTTTACCTACATGAAATTCTGGTTATGATGCTTGTATTTCCAGTGGAAGAGATCCAGAGGCTGTGAAAGACTTCTGTGAGATGTGTGGGTAGAGGCCAGATGGGTTGTTGGACTGAATCAGTTGGAGATGCTTGAAATACAAGGATTCATATGTATGTTGAAGAAGCTAGCAATAGAGAATTTCTTCTGAGGAATTTAGAAGGGCTGATTATGAGTTTTGGGAAAGGAAATTTTAAGGGTATTTCTGCTTTCAGGGGACTTCGACAACTCTTGTTTTATTCAGCCATTTCTTCTGTGCTGTCTAGGCACAGTATTGGTGATGCTTGACCTACTGATATTTCTGTGAGAGGAGAGCTAGTGATTAGTCAGGGTAAACAGACAAATCTCCCCCTCTCCCTCCCTCCCTCTGTAGAATTATAATTTAAGTTAAAAATCCAGGCCAACTTTTTTCCTCTCTCTCCTCAGTGTTCCTGACAGCCCACATGAACCTGACCCAGAGTCCTATGAGCCATTGCCACCCAAACTTATTCCACTAGATGAAGTAAGTGTGACCAACTCTCTTGTGCTCCATCCCTTGCTCTGAGCAGAAAGGAATAACTTAGCGGGCTACAACAGGAGCGGGAGTAATAGTCAGGGCTCATCTTGCAATTGTGAAATAGGGTAAGGCTTTTTTTTTAGAGCAGGGCACTCAGAAAACCAGGCTGCTAGGTTTCCTGCTTGTAAGAAAGCAGATTTTAGAATGGTACGAAACTTTTAGAAATCCTGTGCTCTATGCCTTTTCCCCTTCTCTCTGTCTTGGTTTCCTTTTTGTGTAGCGGAAACAAGCTGGAGAAGGGGAATGTTTTGGACCGGAAGCCAGATGATGATCCCGGGGTAGAGCTGCCAGCCCTGCCCAGCTACCTGAACTCCTTGTCGCCAGTCTCCCTCTGGGTTTGAGCAGCAAGCTCCCCAGCAGCCAGCCCCTCTTACTCCTTATGTCTCCTCTGTCACCTCTCTCAGGAATGCTCCATGGATGAGGCCGCCTACGAGGAAAGACTCGACCCGGCCACCGCCTCGCAGTCTCCGGACAGAGCTGGGGGCTCGAAGCTGCCCCCGGTCCTGGCCAACCTCATGGGCAGCATGGGGGCAGGCAAGAACCCACAGGGCCCCAACCCCTCCATCAACGTGCAAGAGATCCTCACCTCCATCATGGTAACTAGAGCCGCCACAGTGCAGTCTGTTAAATAGCAGAAACACTAATTGCAGCTGACCTGGAAAGAGACTATAGGCCCCTACCACTGCCTTGTCATCTGCTGTGAACATAGTTGAGAACCCAGAATCTCCTAACCCTAAGCTAGTCCCAATTTACCTAGATATTGTCAAATAGGTGTATGGCCAGAATTCATGTCTTCTGTTCTACCTTCAGAGAATACAAAGAACAGAGATTCCCATAGTGGTCCAGAAGAAGCAGATGAGTGGGTTTCTGTCCTGAAACCCATTTTCTGATTTAGGTCAGAACCTGCTGCCTTGATTGTCACAAGACTGAACAGAAGGAATGCAGAAAGTAAAAGCAGTTCCAAGAGATGCCAACACTGAGAATTAACTGCATCCCTAGGCATTTTGGATCAGTGAGATCTTGCAGTGGGGCAATCTGCAGAGGATGGGAAAACAGGCTCTGGCCTGGTACCCATATGAAAGGACTGCCAAGACTGAAATATTTTGGGGTTTCAGTCACAGGAGTACTTCCATCTGGGTAGTAACCTGACCGTGCTTACCCAGTTTTTGGATTGCCCCTAATGAAGGATATTATTGTTCCAAAATGAGTTGAGCAATGAGTTGCAATTCTCAGTGTTACTATCTCTGAGAAGTTTCTCTTTGTTGCATTCTTTCTGACATGGGTGCTTCTGTTCTGGGTATCCTATACAGTTCCTGTCTCAGCTAGCCATTCTAAGTAGGGTTTGTATACATGAGAAGTGTAGCAAGTGGGGATGGGGCAACCAAGACTGCAAGCATTCTCTGATCCTGTGAGTTTCTTCTATTTTATGCAGGGTGGCTCAAACAATCATAAAACAGAAGAGCTGATGAAGCAACCAGACTACTCAGACAAGATTAAACACCTTCTGGGCAACTTACAGGGTCAGCCTGGACCAGGTCCTTCAGGAGGTAAGAGAGGAGCTGATGCACTTGAGAACATAGAAGCCTTGCCCCTACATTGAGTGTCCATCCATCGATCACATTTTTATGCCACCCCATTGAAAAAGGCTATGGATAGGGAGACCTCTTCCATCAACTGTACTCCCATGCACAGCAGCTTTTCCCTGCAAGTAAATGCCATGAAGTGGGGTCAGGGTGTTTTCTGATAGTACAGATGGGAAAACAGACCCCCCCCCCCCAAAAAAAAGGGAATTTGTCTAAGATGATCAAGAGAGGGCATATCAAGAGCTGGCTGTCTGAATTCAAGGCTTGCACAAGTCAATGGAATATACTTAGCTTAATGGTTTTTTGTAATTCGATCTCTCTCATTAGCTCTACATAGAAACCAATCTCTTTTATTATAGTTCCACACACGCTCCTTGGACCAGGGCCTGGTCCAGTTCCCAATGGATTCCCACCAGGGCCCAAAAATATGCAGCACTTCCCTCCTGGAGGTCCCGGACCCATGCCTGGTAAGTAGCAATTGGATGTCACCACAGAGAAAAAGCATGGCATAGCTGTAATTGTGGGTGAGTGGGAGGACGTGGCTCTGGGGAATCACCTGCATTAAGTTGCGTGCTATCTTGCTGGGTGTAGTCATGCTCATCATCTTCTTCTTCTGACTCCTTAGGACCACATGGAGGCCCAGGTGGCCCTAGCATGCCCCCAGGCCCAGGTGTGCCCAGCGGACCTCGGATGATGGGCCCACCTCCGCCCCAGTGTAATGACGGATACTGGGATCCTCCTGATGGTGGCATGCGTGGTGGGCCCCATGGAGGCATGAGAGGCGGCAGCCCTGGCCCAGGACCTGGCCCCGGCCCTTTTCATCGTGGGCGTGGTGGCCGAGGAGGAGAGCCCACTTTCCGTGGGCGAGGAGGTGGACGGAGTGGCGGCCCCCCGAATGGTAGGGGTGGCCCTCCCAACAGCAGCATGGGCGGTGGCCATGGAGGGGGACACGGCGGTGGTGGCCATGGAGGTCACGGAGGAGGGGGCCACCCAGGGGACCACAGCCGGGGACATCCAGGCGGCCATCCAGGGGACCACGGCCGGGGACATCCAGGCGGTTATCCAGGGGACCACGGCCGGGGATATCCAGGGGACCACGGCAGGGCACATCCAGGGGACCATGGCAGAGGTCATCCCGGGGACCGCGGCTGGGGCCATGGCGGAGGTAAATATTGTGGCAATATTGCTTGCTTTGCTCCTGATTGGGTGGGATTTGCAAGGGTGCGAGGTGGTTGTTCAGTGCCCCATGTTTCATGAGTAGGCGAGCAGCTGAATAAGCAAAGGGGAATGGCCTTTTAGAGAACAGTTGCTCTTGCTGGGTCCTTTGAGTCCTGATAATAAGCAAATTCTTTGCACTATAGAAATGCTGGGCTGGGCTGGGCTGGGCTAAGCAAAAAATAGGTTCCTTCCCATATTTCTAATGCATGCGGTTTTGATTCGAAACATTTTGCCAACTTCATGTATAGTATTGGTCTTTGTGCTGCTTGTGCATGGTTGATGCTTCGCATTCTGGGTTCTTTATAGAGTATATAATTCCTGGGAATACTGTGCATGCTGGACGAAGTGATTGTGTGGATTTCCTTTGTTTTCTCACTGGTGTGGCTTACCACTCTGCTCTTCCATTTGTCCTCTCAGATAGGTCAAAGCGTTCAGTATGTCGTCACTTCACAATGAAAGGCAGCTGCAGGTACGAGAACAACTGTGCCTTCTACCACCCTGGCGTGAATGGGCCACCCTTGCCCTAGTACTAGGGATCTGCTCCCCTTTCCCTATCTCTAACTGTGGTATCAGTGCACATTCCCACGTCTTGGACTCTGGGGCTTGAGCTCCAACTTCAGACTCATGCTGCATCCATCTTTTTATGGCTTCCATGAGGCCCTTGAAATGCTTGGGGCAGGGGGAGGCAACTGCTCTACGTCTGCTGCTACTGATGAACTGCCATGTCACAAAGGAGCCACTGGGAGACACCTCCCTCCTGCCTGTGGGGTGATGAGACCACCAATGACTTGAAAGCACAAGAGACTTATGGAGGGTTTTAAAACTGATTTGTGTAAATATCCCTGTGAAACCAGCAGAGGAAGAGGGGACGCTGCAGCTCGCAGCCCTGCCTGGAACCAGATTCTCAGGAACCAGACCTGCACTGAAGACATTTGCTTTGGTCTGGAGGAACAGCTGGCATCTGCAGGAAAACTCTGCCATTTTAGGAACAATGTGTGAGGCAGGGGTGGGGATGAAGCAGTCGCCTGTGGATTATTCTGTGGGATCTAAAGGCAAGGAATCCACTGCTGTCTAAAGGCCAACTAGAAGAAGGGGGAATGCCAGCAGCTGCTGCTTGCACAGTACCCTCTTGAGCCATGGTGCCCTGTCTTCCCATTTATAAAATACCCCCTGCAGTGTTCCCACTGACTGCAGAGCTGTGATTTCCCTTGGTGCTAAGTGTGTCATTGGGGGAAACCTACAAACTGTTTTCTATGAAAACTCAACCTTGACTCTAAAGATTTAGGGGGTAATTTTTGTTTTCCTGATTTCATTGTTGGTTGTGGGTTTTTAAAAACTGTCTCACAAGATGTGGACTCTTCACTACATCTTTTGTCTCCCCCCTTCCTTGAAGTGGGTGCAGCAACCCCCTCACCTGAGGGGAAGAAAGTGTCTCGCTCTAAGTTTTTGTATATTTTGTATATTAGTAATAAACATGGTGGAAAAATGAATTATCTAATTTAACTCCTGTAGTCTGGACTGGTTGTTCATTATTGATTTTGAAAATTACTCTCACTAGATTCATTTGAAAGGGGGTTGAGGAAGAAGGGGTTACGGCTGTCAGGGGAGTCTGAAACTTCGCATTCGTCGTGGTCTCTCTGCATCACACATGTGAGCTTTGTGCCTGCACAGAGCATGTCAGTAGGAAGCGTCTATAACTAAGCATTCAATTGGGTGGGAGCCCCTCCACTTCCTGTTCCAGGATAAGGTGGGGAGAGGTTCCCACCCATCCCCTCGGTTCCTTTCGAGGCCATTGTACCTAGTTTTGGAAGTGCTACTCAGCACTTGCCTGATGCTTAAGTAGTTTTTGGCTTCTCTGCCAACATTCACCTCATCTAGGACAGTCTTTTCCAATTAGTACATACACAGGCTCTATGTTGACTCGAGATGATGGGTCTTTTAGTGAAGGGCACCAGGTTGGAGAAGGCAACTATAGAGTAAGGTGCTCACTGCTGTGTCCCACTTAAAATGGGCAGCTGCCAAACAGTTCTGGTGCAGCAGCACTCTACAGCTTGGGTTGCAAATTATGCTCTACAGCAAATGGCAGCCCTTCCCAGCAAATGTTAGTACTTAGAGAAGCAGTAATCCTCTGCCTTAGTAAAATGAATTGTTCTGAACAGAGGTATGTAGCTCTAATCTATGCATGTTTATTCAAATGTAAAACTGTGTCCTGAAAAATCTAAAGTATCATGAAGTACTGTTTTTCCATATCAGTGTTTTTCCATTGTTCTTCATCAATCATGAAGTATTGTTTTTCCATATCAGTGTTTGCCACCCAGTAGTGGGGGTGGGGGTGGGGCAGAGGAATTGACCTGCAATTTAAGCAAGGCCAATTGTGTGAAGCTAATAGTTTAAGTTTTGCTTTAAAGAAAAATGAGGAAACTGCTTTTGTGGAAACAGAAAAAAATGATGCAAAGTTGAAGCTTTTGGTGTGATGTGTAACTTGTTCCAAATTAGAAGACTCCTAGCGTTCCAGATCCCCCCCCCCCCAGCAAAGTGTTGCTATCCTGCGGTCCGTGTAGAACCTGAGATGCTCAGATTCCTAACTTGAAAGAATGGGCAGAAGGGAAGAGACACATGGCTGTTTTGATACAAAGGTTTTGCCAGCACCACTGCTTTCACGTAATTTTGAGAGGTTTTCATAGCCTCCTTCATTTGTAATCTAGCTGTTTCCCCACCACTTTTGTCTGTTAGAAAAGCTTATCTTTTAAATGCCTAGCTCTTGAGCCCTCTGGAGGTAGCCCATATAAATAGTGCCCTGGACATCTTGGATAAGGGTGGGATGAAAATGAGATTAGAATAAACTGGCAATGGGTCACCAACATTTCAGGCAGAGAGAACTCTTCAAGGCAGATTATACTAGAGATACAGTGTTACTGAAATTAGTACATGCATTCCATATAGATAAGAATCTTACACCTTAGAATAGCATTTTAAAAAATGGCTGGTAAAGTTCAACTTGTGCTTTCTCCCAGTGCATGTATGCTCAGTGGCTGTACACAAACCGTTCCAACTTTTTGCATCAGATTGCAAAGCCATGACAGGGTCAGAACATGTCTTCAAAAGTATGCTGCTGTATTAATATATGTACACTTTACGATGCTTGGCTTGCTGGAATTGTCTGCATTACACATAGCATTCACTCTCTTTACTAGCGTTAGGATAGCAATGTCTTTTGCTAGGTTCCTGACATACTTGGTAAGAGCTTTAAGGAAGCTGTATCTGCTATGGCCATAAGATCACCACTTCTAACACACACATCATGGGTGGAAAACCAACAGCAGGGCTTGGAACTAGATTTAGTTGCACTTCTATTAGACCCACTGAAATCAACAGAATTGAGGTTAGGCAAGTACCATCGATTTCAATGGGCCTACTCGAGTATGACTATATCTGGTTCCAACTTGATGGATTCTCTGCATGGATCTAGTACAGCTCTAGAATTTTTGGGAATGCCAAGGTTCAGTTAAAATAGTTTCTATACCTGACAGATACAGAGAACCATTTAAAAAGAAGACACTACACTGCATTCCCCATGATCCCCATGATTTTGGTTCTCTACTGTTCCACTACTTGGCCTAATTGCAATTTCAATCTAACCTACCTAAAGCATGAGAGCTTTAAACAATGTTAACACTTTCTCCTGGAACTGAATGGAACGTATAAAACATATGTTTTATTAACTTAAGATTTAGAATATTGTCCAGGGCGTATTCACTTCCCATCCATTTATTTGAGGATGTTCAGGGATCAAGGCAGCACTGAGGTAAACTTGGAATACTACCAAGCTGCAGCATAAAGGCTTGTCCCCACTCATTTTCAGCCAACATCATCCTATCCTAACCATCTTGTCTCCAGTTCTTCAAAAGAGAGACACCAAAGACTCCACAAAATTGTTCATCACATTTTAATTTAATAAGTTTATATGACTCTGCAACTATTCCAAAAGGGAGAGAGGCAGGGAAGGAAGAGCGCAGAACTGTAAAATGAGAGGTTCTCCAAAATGTCTGCTTCACAGAATGTAAGCCATTCTGAGGGGCACCTGCCTTTCTCCAAGCCCCTCAACACCTCTGCATTCCTGCATGGCGAGGAGAGGAAATCAAGGACCTGTTCAAGCATCTCCTCCCACTCCCCCACTGGCAGATCAGCCATTAGAGTCCTTGGTTCATCAAGAGAGGGCAGAGTCCTGTTTCATCACTGGGCAAATGAAAGGAGGCCCCGGGCATCGCTGGCAACTGCCTCTGTCTGCCTTATTCCCGGGGTCGATTGACGAGTACTTCACCCAAGGCCTCCAGCACTTCACGTTTGTAGTCTTCAAAGTCGCCATCTATCTGGTTGACGGTCTGGTCCTCCACCACCCACAGATGGCAGTTGGTCTCTGTGATAAGCCTGGCATCGTGGCTGACCACAATCACAGCTGCAAGACCAGAGGGAGAGAACAGATAGGATGGCCCCGGTCGGTCACGCTGCAAGTTCCTCCTCCCCCTCCACAGACCGCAGGGCTCCTTTCTCTTTTCATGTGCTGGAAAATTTATTTAAGCCATCATGGGCTGAAATGACCGTGCAGACCAGGTCAGTGTATCTGATGCACTTTGAACACTAAAAAGCACAATATAACTACTTAAAAACAGCAGAGTGTCCCTTTGCTCAGAGGGTACCAAAGCTGACTTAATCAACAAGGGATCCCAGGAGTTTGTTTTCAAAGGTCTACTAGTCAGGACTATTATCTACAACTTGCCCCCATTATCTGCAGGGAAAATAATTCCAGGCTGTTTCTGCCATACCGCTTTGCTCACAGTCTGGTGCCATTCACAGGCCTCAATGGAATGGAGCAGGGGGAACCTCACACCAACCATTTCTATGCATTCAAAATAAGAAGCCTGGTGTTGTTTTTCAGAAATGGACAACATCATAGTTGCAACTCAAGAAGTAGTAGCTGATGTGTGCAAGTGCTGGGACATACTGGGGTTCTCCTGAGTAGCACCAGCTCTGGAGGAAACTCCTGAAGTTCTCCAGAACCTTGAGGTCAGTGGGCTGTAGCTCAGTAGCAGAGTAGTTACTTGGCATGCAGAAGGCCTCAAGTTCAATCCCTAGCTTCTCTGGTTAAAAGGATCAGGTGGCAGATGATGGGCAGGACCTATTTTGTCTGAGACCATGGAGAGGCCCTGCCAATCAGAGAAGACAACAGAGTTTGAGGCAGACAAGAATGGCAACCAACAAGCAGAGGAATAGGAAACAGTTGGCAGAATCTCACCAATGGTAGACCTCAGCTTGATTGCTGAAGAACAACGGGAGAAGAAGAAACGAGCAGAAGGAAATTAGAAAAATTTGGGACCGATATGGAAAGGGTAAGTTTAAGTTTGGTGTTAGCAAAATTGCAGAAGAGATTTATAACTGTTGTAAGATTTAAGAGACAGTGTGGTATAGTGGTTAAGAGCATGGGACTGGGACTCAGACGATCTGGGTTCTAGCCCCCGCTCGGCCATGGAGCCAACTGGGTGACTTTGGGCCAGCCACAGACTGTCAGCCCAACCTACCTCACAGGGTTGTTGTTGTGGGGATAAGATGGAGGAGGAGAATGATGTAAGCTGCCTTGAGCCCTTAGAGGAAAAAGGCAGGATATAAATTGAAAAATAAATAAATAAATAAATAAAATAAAGCTGTGAAAATAGTAAAGTTAATTAAATAATATAAGGTGTATAGCACTGTATTTTGAATGAGTCTAATGATCGAAATATGGAAAAAAATTACAGTGCTACGGTAAAGGGTAAATTTAAGTTTGGTGTTGTTACAAGATTCAAGAGATAAAACGCTATAACATAGTAGAGTAAGGTTAACTTTTTGTTGTAAGCCGCCCCGAGGCTTCGGCGAATGGGGCGGCATAAAAATGTTTTAATAAATAAATAAAATAAAAAATAAATAAATAATATAAGTTTATAGCATTGCATTTTGAAAGAGTTTAATGATCAGCTGAACATAAGCCAGCAGTGTGACGCAGCAGCTAAGAGGACAAGCACCACCCTTGAATGTATAGCCAGAAGCCTGGCTTCCAGATCTAGGAGGTGCTGATACCACTCTACATGGCTCTGGTGTGCCCACAGCTGGAGTACTGGGTCTAGTTCTGGGCTCCACATTATAGGAGAGGCATAGCTAGGCTAGAATCAGTTCAGCACAGGGTCACACGAATGGTAGCTGGGGTGGGAGGGATGACGTATGAGGACTGATTGAGGGAACTGGGTCTTTTCAGCCCGGAGACTCCCAGGGGATCTTTAAGCGACTTATAGGTATGTGAAGGGATGAAAAGCATATGGGAGTTCAAAATACAGAGAGGTGGCAATTATTATAGCTAAGATAGCTGAGTATAAAACTAAAGTGAAGAAAGATGTGAAAGGTAGATATTTGATACTATAAGGTGAAATGAGAGGAGAAGATTATACATTAGTTAATATTTACACAGCAAATGTTGATCAGATGAATTTTTTAAAGGTTGTCCTGGAAAAATCAGAAGGCATTAGGAAAGGATTTGTAATAATGGCAGGAGATTTCATTATGGTAATGGATGAAAGGAAGGATAGATTAAATCCTACTAAAAAGGAAACAAGGTGTAATAGTACATCATTAAATAAAATGATAAATGATATTGATTTAAAAGATGCATAAAGAGAGTTGAAGGGAGAGAGAAAAAATATTTGTTAGTTCATAGATCTTATTCTAGGATTGATTATACATTTGTATCAAAGGATCTTTTTTCCTAGAATATATGCTTCAGATATAGGCTTGATAAAAATTATTGATCATGCATTAATAGATATGGACTTTAAAATAAAATGTGATTATGAAGAGGCTAGAAAATGAGGATGGATTTAAATGTTTTACAACATAAGCATATAATAGATAAAATAGAGAAAGAACTGAAAGAAATGTTAATGATAAAGAGGGAAGTGCATGAAGCTTCGTATGGGACACAATGAAGGCTGTTGCAATCAGAGTATTTATTAGGGAAACGTGGTATTTTAAAAGGCAATGGGCTAAATACGTGGAAAAATTAGAGGGTGATATAAAGGATCTGGAGAAGAAATATATAAATGATGGGGATATTAAAATTTTGGTGGAAATACAAGGTAAAAGGAAAGAGTTGCAGAATAGGGAAATAGCATGAACACAGATAAATGTAATATATTTGAAAAGGGATTTTTTTGAATTTAGCAGTAAGAATTCAAGAATGTTGGCTAGAGCTATGCAACAAAAAAGAAGTACAAACTTAATAGGAATAGTTAAAGATGAAAAGGGTAAAAATGTAACTTAGTGAAAGAAAAGTTAGGAATACTATGTAAATTTTATTTGAAGCTATATGCAGCTGGGAAGATGCCAATAGATAAAATTAGATCATATATAGAAAAGAATGTTGGGAATAAATTGCAGCCGGAAGATGGAGATCTAATGGAACAGGTGGTTAGGGAAGAGGAGATAGAAGAGGTTATTAGTAATTTAAAAGTAAGGAAAACTCTAGGCATAGATGGATTATAAGCAGAGTTTTATAAGGCATCTAGAAAGTTGCTGGTACCAAAATTAAAATTTCTTTTTGATAGCATACTGGAGGATGGAAAGATTCCAGAATCTTGGAAATATTCTTCAATAGTTTTGATACCAAAACCTAAGGATTTGACAGATCCTGGAGCACATAGGCCTATATCTTTGATAAATTAAGGCGCAAAAATGTTTATTGCAATATTTGCAAAAAGATGGAATAATTTTATTGATAAATGCATCAAAGTGGATCAGACTGGTTTTACAGTGGGGAAGAATGTTGGCTCTGACTATAAGAGTATCAGACATAATAGAATGTTTATCATAGGAAAGGTTAAAAGCAGGCATAATAGCATTGGATATTTTCAAAGCTTTTGATTGTGTGGAATGGCCAGCAATTAAGATGCTAATTGAGACATTAGGATTTGGTTCACAATTTAAATGTGTAATAAATCAATTATATTCAGAAAACTTTGCAAACTGTGACAGTTAATGATGGCTTAACAGAAAGAATATCCTTAGGCCAAGGCACTAGACAGAGATGCCCTCTTTCACCAATATTGTTTGCTTTAGTTATAGTATTATTGACAAATAGTATAAGAAATGATGATACTATAAAAAGGTATTGAATTTTAACTTAAACTTAAAATTAATTTATTTGTTGATGATACATTGTTAACAAATGAGGACCCATTTAATGTCATTGATCAGATTAAAACTCATTTGGTGGAATTTGGTGAGAGGTTTACAGGTTAATTGGGATAAATCTGAGATAATGCTGTTTAATTGCAGTAGGGAAGAAAAGGAAGGAATTAAGAATACATTTCATATTAAAATATGTAATATACTTAGGTATAAATATCTCAGAAACAATGTCTAAAATAATATTTTTGTATATTCAGGAAAACAAGATTATTTTGGTTTGGTAGAACAGCAGTTTATAAAATGAAAATTTTACTTAAGATTTTTTTTTTTACTTGGGATGTTGCTGATTAGGATATTAGGGAAATAGTTAAAAGATTGGCAAAATATTATTAATAAATTTTGTAACAAAGAAAGCAAGGATTAGTAAGAAAAGATGATATGAACCACAAACATTCATGTTTTAATAAATAAATAAATACTATTATTGTTTACTATAATAATAATTATTATTACTGTTTTTAATTATTGTAAGCCATCCTGAGATGTTTTATCAGGAAGGATGGGGTAAAAATGTTTTAAATAAATAAATTGAAAGGAGAAATGGGATCTTCAGTTAACTGAATGGTATAAAGAAGTTTGGAATGTAGTTGTTATTGATAAATTGACATGTGGGATTAGGGTGAGAAAGGGATAGATAAAGAAGAACAATTTTAATGATATATGATTGAATATGTACTAATAAAAATGAAGTGTATTAAACCTTTGGCTAATTCAATGCAATTTTGGATAGAAATGAGTGGAAAGTTAGAGCCAGAAGCAAAAAAGAAAGAAATGAAGGAAAAAAAATATTATTTATCCATGGTCCCAGTAGAGGGGTGTACTGTTTTTATTTATAGGGTTTTTTGTATCTTGTGCGGTTTTTTCTTCTATTTTTTGATGTATTTTGTATTTGTATTTATTTGTAGTAGTTTATTATCATTAATACAATTTTAAAAAATTAAAAAGTGGGACCTGGTGCAATGCAAATCTTCATATTGCTGTGTTTTGAAGGGAGTACTTTAGTCCAATTCCTATTCTCAGGGGAAGGAAAAGCCCTCACTGCTGCAGCCATTCACAGCCAGAAGGCCTCCTGATGGTCAGGATCCCAACCATCTGGAGGACACCATCTTGGGGAAGGCTTCTGCATGACTTTGGAACTATGCGCTGTTCCACCATATGGACCGAGACAATTTGTCCTGGGGGCTCATTCAGCCAATTAAGGCAGCATGAAGCAATCAGTCCTCCCTGTTGGACTGGTACTTCTGACTGGGCACCACCTTGGGAAGCAGCTCAGACCAAAAGGTTCAGACTCACCCCCTTTATAATCGTTGATGGCATCTGCCAAAGCGTCAATTGACTCGATATCCAGGTTATTTGTAGGTTCATCCTGTGGGTGAAGGAGAGTCACACAGAGAGATAACATTCATTTACAGAAAAAAAAGATAACTGGCTTCAGAAATGGAGCAGGAGGGCATGGGGGAAATGATTCCATCAGATACATCCTGCAGCAGCAAAGCAGCTATGCGACATCTGTCACTTGCCACACATCCACGCACTAGGTTGAAATTTTTAGGTTGAAACTAGGATCCAGAAGCCAATGAGGGCTTCAGAGGGGGGCCAAACCCGGAAGGCTGCATAGGTGGGTGGTAGCTAAACAAAGGACCCAGAGCTGGGGTGAGGGATAAATGTGTGAGTCGGGCAAGCAGATGCACCAAAATGGAAAAGGAGGGGAGAGGGGAGAGGCACACTGTGGGTAGGAGAACGCATGCCAAAGCAGATGGGAAGCCAGGGTGATGTGACTGCCCCAGGGGTGACCATGCTTCCATTTGAGAGAAGAGGGAGCAGCTTTTTCTGTGGACTTCCTGCTGAACAGACGCAGGTCTGGCGAAGGGGCCAGGATCTCCTTCCACAAAAGGAAGGAACTGGCCATGAGGGGAAGAGCCTGGCTTGAGGAATGCTCTGCTGACTCATCTTTAGGGACCTCCCCTCTGCCCTCCCCAAGCATAGCTTGTCCCATTCAGCAGGGACGCCGGACTCTCTCCCCAATATTCTCTGAGAGTTGGAAGGGCTGCTGTGGGGAGGAGGGGAAGGGGGTGCCAGCTCAGATCTGGATCCAGCCCTGTTGCTGGGAGATCTTCGGTGCTCTGCTGGGGGATGGTGCAGTTCCTTGACTCAGTCCTCCTGCACCTCAGAGGATCATCTGGCAGGGAGAGGAACGGCAGGGAAGCACCTGCAGAGCTCATCTAAGCACCCCATGCCCTGCTCACACTGAGATTTTTCAATTGTTCTGGAAGTGACTCAGCACAGAGAGAGATTGAGACCCACCAAAATGAGGACATCTGGTTCTCTGCAAGCCAGTTCCGCAAATACCACACGCGCTTTCTGTCCTCCTGGAGAAGAAGGAAAAGAGAGTCAAGTGGAGAATTAGGAGACTTGCCTTCTTCCCCCAGAGGTGGCAAAAATGGGATCTTGTCTGCCCGATGCTGTTGAACACAGAGAGAGGGCTTAAAGGTGGGGTCAGAAGTTCTAAGGCAAGGGCACAGCAGCTTGCGGCCCTTCAAGGTTGTTGGCCCTCTTCCAACTGTCTATGCTGGCTGGGGCTGATGGGAGTTCTGGGCCGAAGACACAGCTGTTCTGCCCTCCACCCATCTTCTCTCCAGCCTGCTTCTCAAGGTTGAGATGGAACACCAGCATTGAATAACTAGCACAGCCTTCCCGAGCCTGGTGGCCCCAGCCAGTACGGCCTCGACAGAATAAATCTTAAGAGCAGCAGGAAAGCCCTGCTGGATCAGGCCAAGGATCCATCTCATCCCGCACTCTGTTCACACAGTGGCCAGCCAGCTGCTCACAGGATCCCACCCGTGTTTCCCACATGTGGGCACACTGCCTCTGCTATGGGCAGCAGCATATAGCCATCAAGTCTTGTAGCCATTAGCAGCCTTCTCCCCATGAAGTTCTCTCATCCCCTTTTAAAGAAATCCAAACCATTTTCCCTCACTGTATCCTGTGGAAGTGAACTCCATCGTTAAAATCTGCACTGTATGAAGAAGCACTAGAACACAAAGAGGTGCCCCATGAAGCTGGACAAGCCGTCCTGAACCTCCCGCCAATCAATCAGCTTCATGGGACAACTTCATTGCGTTCTAACACTATGACACAGGGGGAAAGCACGTGTGAGCGACGCTCCACCTCTCCTCCCGGACCGTCCCTATTCCTGCTCCCACCCCACCGCTGCACATACCGGACAGCTTGCAGATCTGGATGGTGTGGGCATGGCTCTCCAGGCCAAACCGCCCCAGGCATTTGCGTGCATCCTGGTACGGCAAGTTGAAGTTGCGTTGCAAGTATTCTGTCGCTGTTTCCTGCATGTTCAGCTGGTCAGCATACTGCTGATTGAAGAAGCCAATTTTCTACCGGGGGTGGGGGAGGAAAAGTTGTCAGCCACAGCAAACCAAACCATGTCTTTCACCCAGCACTGACAAAGCGCCTTTCATAATCTGCCATCCAAGCAGTGCACCGATTCCAGACTTAGTCATGCTTAGAACAGTCCCCCTGTCATGACCAAATTAGTCTCACTGATCTCTGAACTTGACTAGCTCTGGATGAGACCTTGTTAGTGACTCTTTCAATCCCATTTGGTCTCATTCACTTAGGATGTCTCTTCATATGTTTTGGACTGCGGTTCTATAATCCTCGACCATTGGCCAGGCAGGCTGGGGGTAGTGTGAGTTGTAGTGTCCCAAGCTGCCCATCCCTGATTTAGGTGAAGCTGCTAGCCATAAATCCACAGCTGTGTTAGGAATTAAAGAATACTGAGCCCAGGAATTTGTCCCATCAGAACGGGTCCTTCCACACAAAATTCCACTGTTGCTGGATTTCATTTCAAGCTTTCATATCAGCAGCATAGCTTATTGCTGCTGCTGATAGGAGTCAGAAACCCATGCTGATCTACTGCAAATCACTGGATCGTCCCATAGATCCAACTGACCTTCTGCTCACCCCAAATTAAACTGCAAGGGGAATGAATGTCCCTTTGGGCCTGTTTAGAGGGAACGCAAGGCATGCTGAGCAGCGATCAACAGAGCCGGTTCTTGGATACACCTTCCACATCCAAACAGGAGAGTTGCGTGTGAGGGGCTGAGTAGGTGGGTGAGGAGAAGGGAAAGAGGGGGAAATCCTCCCTTCGCCTTTTATGGCTGGGGAGATGGGTTGCATTAGCAACCCCAAGTGAAATGCACCCATCATGAAAGATTTTACAATTCTACCCTTGTTCTCAATTAATGCTTACAATTGTAAGGTTCCCTGCAGCCCAAGCAGTGAAGTTCAAGAAATCGATCCTGGGCCTTTCATATCGAACTGCTTTGCATAATGTTAAGGTAGATGGTTTCTTGGGTCATGTGTCCTCATGGATCATAAGCAGTTAAAATAAACCATCTGCTGACAGAACTCACTCTTTCCATTCTGATTCACAGCCTTCCTTATGACCCAAAATGCGAATCTTTGCTCCCGTAAGTTCTAACAAAATCCCACCCCCTGATCAGAAAGTCACCAATACTTACTAGCCTGTGGTTTTTCCTCATTTCCCCTCTTGTCTAGAAAGATGAAAAGAGGGGGAAAAAACACACAAAAAGGAAGTTAGGGTGGACCCCAAGAGTCTGATCATCTTCCCTGAAATTAAAGGATCCAGTTTCACAGCTGAAAGAATTCAGGGTGAAAGCATAGCTGCTTCTGGGACAGAGAAGTGGGCAGGAGGGCTGGATGGAAAGAAAGAAGTCTGTGCAAAGTTAAGGGCTGAGGGCAACATTTTGCAGATGTCCCTGCAGATGAAGACCATCTGATTTTTTGACCATGTGCAAGCCATTCTGAGAAGCCTTTCAGCTGAAGACAGAGGTAAAAATGCTTGTAATAAAGCAAACATATAAAATGCTTTCCCCCCCCAACTAAAGCCCCCTTCACACAATTAACGTGAAAGGCGGCTAATTTGGAGCACAACTGGAGAAGCCCTTCCACAGAAATGAAACCTTATTCCATATTGGTATTCAGTGTGAATATTTATTGAATGTATGCATAATTTTAATAATTGTAAACTGCCCAGAGAGCCTGTGGGCTACAGGGCGGTATATAAATGTAATAAATAAATAAGACAGGTAGTTAATAGTATCTCTCAGGAAAAGGATGGGGGGATAAAAAATTAGAAAAGCCAGAAGATGCCAAGTTTGACACGGCTTACTTACCGGCGTTAGCTTCCCTGTTAGCAGCAGCAGCAGCGTACTCTTTCCCACACCATTGGGGCCTACGATACAAACTGTGGGACAGAGAAAGGAAGAGGAGCATTATTAAGACTATGTTTCCTAAAGGTTCCTCCATCCTTGAACGTGCAGAGGTAAGACAACCTGACATGCTGAGCTGTGCACACGCACACAGGTGAACTCAGGAGCAAGTATTGTTATGTTGCTAAGGGCTCAATCCCAGGCATGTTTAGATAGAGGAAAGCCTTTTTGCTGCCTAAGCGTGCACAGGATTGTGTCCACAGAGAACCCAGTGAATAAACTTGTTTGCCCTTAGCAAACAAGGAGACACTGTCTAGGCACAGGGAGAGCAAGGCACTCTGAAATGAAGCAGACCGCTCTTTTCACATCACTTACTTCGAGACTCCATGTCAATCCCAAAGTCCAAATTTTTGAAGAGAGGCTTCTGCCCTGCATAAGTGAAGTCCACACCTACAGGGAAGAAAACAAGGAAGATGGTGGAGGAAGAATTGCAAACTCTGATCCAGAACCGGGGAGGTGCTGCTTCTTCCCACAATGATGGTACAGTTTCTTCATCATGGGCAAGGCTTTCAAGAAGCCTAGGTGCATAGCAGGTTACACATGTGCGGTGTGAATGGATGATGAGAGAGAGAGAGAGAGCAGGCACACCACAATCTGGGCTGGAGTTGCTGACAAAAACTTCTACACTGGTGTCCCCCACATTTCTGGATCTGTAGGCACCTCCAGAAATGTGGGCACCATCACAAAAAGCAAACTCAGTGGATGGTTACAGTGGTGCCCATGGATGCTTAGGGTACATCTTCCCCAGCTGAAATGTTTCTTTCCAGTCCACAGGGCACTGCAGCATCTCTTTAGTAAGGATTATTCAATTCAGCTGATTGCTGGTGGTGTGACGCAGCTGATACTCCTTTCAAACACAAGTCCTGATAATGCCCAGTGGAGGTGATTACACAGACAAATTTTGTATTAAGAGCAATAAAACTGTTATCTATCCACTGATGTACAGTATTTTAACTTACCTGTTTCATAGAAATTAATTAATGGAACAGGAAATGGACCTCTGACAATTAAAAGACTGATATTACAAAACTGGAAGGAAAAACATGGACCTGCTAAAAATTAATGAATTGGGGACCATGCAATGCTTTGCATATATGAATGGGTGGCATGCATGCCACCTTCCAACAGATACTTATTAGGATCTGTGGAAGCCTATAAATAATTCCTAGAAAAATATATGCATTTCATACAATTCCATGTACATCTATTTAAAAATGGGATTTTTTAAAAAAAATCTGGCTGCCCATGGGCACCACGTTAAGGACTGCCTTACAGGAGCCATCCTGGAGAGCCCTGCTCCTGACCAGGACAGGTAGACAAAAGCAACCTTGCAGCCCAGAGTGCCGCTGCTTACCTGCCCCGCAGTCAACAAATGGGGCAGAGCCCCATAGGCACATACCTCTTGGGGGGCATCTTTGTACAAGCGTATCAAACTTGCCACATCCTTACTGCCATGTTTCTCGCACAGGAGCAGGGAAAAGCACCCTCTCCACACACAAGTGGGTCAGCACTCACCATCAGACCACGAGCGATCACGCTTGCGAATGGGAAGCTTGGGGCTGGGTAAGGCCAAAGAGAGGCTAATGCTGAGCTGGGCTCGTGAGGGGCTGGGCTTGAGAGCTCAGAGTGCTCTAACTGCTTGCTTTGCTTTGCTGCAATGCCTCTAGGTACAACAGAGCAGGTCCTGGCCACTGCCAAGGTGACCCGGCACTGTTCAAGCTGTGCAAGGCTGCTTGCGAAATCACGCCTGCCACTGCGGCTCCCTGCCCCCTTTGCACTCCCCCTGCAAAGACAGCTCTGTACCGTGCAGGCCCAGAATGGGCGGGCTGAGGGGTGGCGGGTTCGGAAAGGTGAATTTCACGGTATACTCCTTGGGCCGCTTCAGGAGTTCCGGGATCTCATTGGCCTCCTCGTCCGGGTTCTTCTTGCGGCACTTCTGCTGCTTGCGTGTCAGGGCCTCCTTCGTCTGCTTTTCCTGGAAATGGCCAGAGGGAGACAGGTGGACACTTTACTGACAAGCAAGGCCTAATCTAAGCCTTTCCAGGTTTTGCTGACCTACCAGAAACCCTCTAAAGTGCAAGCCTGTGCACATTTACTCAGAGAAAAGTGCCACTGAGTCCAGCGGGCCTTGCTCTCAAGGAAAAAGTGCAGCCTTCCAGCACCCATCAAGAGCCAATCCTACCAACCTCCTCACTGGAATAAAAGCCTACTCCTAACTGCCAAGGCCAAACAGAAGCCCAAGAGCCGTGAGTAACCCATCATATTATCCGAATTGCTATGATTATTTATTTCCTGGAAAACCAAACAAGAGGAATGACTGCCATGCGTAGTTCCACAGATGAACTCAGCAGGAAAGTTCAGCCTCCTGGCACTGCTCTGCTACGGGAGGGGCCCACAGAGCAGAGAGCGACCATGCTTCTCCCCAGGGCCGGGTGTCCTGTGCCAAGCACAACCCAGGGACGTACTGCCTGCTTCGTGGACTTCCCTCCAGCCTTGAGGTCTTTCAGCTTCTTCTCTTGCTTCTCGTACTGCTTCAGCAGCTCTTTCTGTTTCTGCTGATACATCTTCTTGAATGTCACTGAAAAGAGAAGATGGGACAAGCCTTAAGACCCTAACATCTTCCTGGCTTGCTCAATCCACATGCCCTTGCATACAGCCTCTAACTGTGGCTGTCTAGATGTCCCAGGAAGAGGTGGCCACGTTTCAGGCTTGCCAGAGCTCCTCTGATTTTGCAAGAGCAACAAAATGCGCAGAGGGAAAGTAAAGAAGAGGGTGCATCTGAGCGCATGCTAAGAATCTGTTTCCAGCACTGAGTGTGCAGCCTTTGGCACAATGTTCTGCTCCAGGATACCCCAAGCTTTCTTCAGTGCAGCAACCAGATTTAAGCTGGGAAGTGCTTTTGTGGAGCTAGGAGTCAGAAATCCTTGTCAAGCTGCCACAAATTGCTCAGAGGTCTCTGGCCAGATCCTGATCTCTCTTCTGTTTTACATCTGCTGAGAAGTAAGCACCACTGAGATCTTTGAGACTTACCTCCAGGTAAGTGTGCATCAAATCACAGCATTAGCACAACCTGAAAAAAAGAATTGCGCTGCTCTTTGCGCAAGCATCCGTGTGCCTTGCAATCTTGTAGGAGTGACCTAGAGATCGACCAGCAGACCCTGAGGTAGCTTATGGCCTCCCTCCTCGTCCCCACCCCGCTGCCAGCACCTGCCAATCTGAAGTGTCCTACACCTGGGCAGGGAGCCTGCCAGGAACAACACTGTGACAGGTGAGGCATGAGGCAAAAAACCTCTCTGCAACTGCACTGCGGCACAGCAAAGGATCCTCAGGGAAGTGACCCGAAGGTGGGGAAAGGCCGACCTCCTCCAACATTTCTGGCTAAGCAGGGGCTCACTGCTCTTGAGCCCCAGGGGAACCACAGATCGCTTCAGTTGGTGGATGCCAGAAAGACACGCATTCCTTTGACTCAACCTTGTCCTTTCCTCAGGACATGCTTGAAAAGCAAACACAGTGTTGTTTGTGTGCTGAGCACCCTCCTGCCACCTAACGAATCTTCATCCCCAGTAACCCTGCCTCCATATAGTCGGTGTGGCCCCAGCTTCTAAAATACACAGGCTTGAATCCTCCTTGCATTCCCTGCCCCCTTGAAAAAAAGCTTTGCTACTTTCGCCAATTCAGAGTGTAAAAGGAGGAGGGTGGAAGTCAGCCACTTCTGAGGACAGAAAGTGCAAGCGTTCTGCAGTGGGAAGGTGTACGGGGGAGATACTCAAGAGGAGCACTTTTGAATACATCTATTTAGTTTGCCACAGTTGAGAAGTTTGCAGTAGTGCACCACAGTTACCCCAGCAGCAAAATCAAAGTTAGTTTTTGTGTGGTCAAGCACCTATCCACCCCCACTCACCTCCTGGGATTTCACGCCCTAGACTGAAAGTGACTATGGAAAAAATATGGAAGTCATAGACTTTCTGAAAGAAGCATGGGAAATCTACCATATGTCAAGGAATTCTTTCTGAACTCTGAAGAAAGAACCTACATGTTTGCCACACCGGTCATGAGGCTTGCTTTCTAGATAGCGAGATAACGAGGCACACAGACCAACACGGAGAATGGCATGACAAGTTCAGCTTTTCAAATTCTATGTGAAAATACCATTTCTCTTGCATGGGAATAGCTGCGGGACAGACAGGAAGTCCTGAAAAGCCGAATCCCTTCTGAGGGTCACTTGACTTAATTCCAAGTCACAAGATGTGTGTTCTTGCTCCCGTGGGAACAAAGACAGCCATTGATGCTGTGTCTATAGGGAAGTGGGGTGGCCAAGGCTCTGGGGCGGAGACTTCACAGCCCAGCGGCACTCTGCACAGAAGGGCTCTTTGAGCCTCTGTCGCTCCCAAGAGCTGCCTTTGGAATCGTAAAAGCACCTTCCTCCCGGAGACTCTGCCAGCGCTCACACTGATCAAAGTAATCCCTGCTGGGTCTTGTGTCTTCTCCGGGAAAATTTCCCCTCTCTCAGCCTGTACTACCACAGAGGGTATTAAGAGGAGGAAATCAAACAACAGAACATGCCACCAGCTATTTGCACAGGGCAGGAAAAAAGCAGAAAAGCTGGGTAACACAATCAGTACGGGAAGATCTGGAAACAGAACTGGGATGGGAGGGAATTTGGTTCAGCTGCATGGTATTTTCTGTCTGCCAAAATATCTACTACAACTGAATTGAAATTGTTCCTGAGGCAGCCCAAGTGCTTCTCCAAATCTTCCTTCACAAATCTTGGTGTCAAATATTCATCAAATATTTGCCAAACACTGCTGGATGTGAAATCCGAACACTGGGTGCCAGTTTTTCAGCAAATGCCGCTGTCAGGATCTACCACTGCACGGTTGCAGGAGCTGCCAGCTGCTGTTTGATAACTCAAATGTATCAGGTGTAAGTTTCAGCTGATTCTGGAACTCAAAGCAGTATTTAAATCTTGACATATGACATTTGCTATTTTTACCTGGCAAAAAAGCAGTCAAAGGACTGCCCCAGTCAGTCTAAATGCCTCAAATTAATATTGCATGCTGCACTCAGTTTTCAGAGTCAAAGCCCAGTGTTGTTACTTGAAATGGGCGGATTCCTAGATCTTGTAAAAAACAGTTTCAGTTCTCTGAACTAGGTCCCTTGCAAGTGCGTCCTTGTTGCTGCTTCATTTTAGCCGTACCCCACAGGAAAACCCTGCAAACTGCGTTGCCCTTGAACACTGGCGTTGCCCCCTCCCCCTTAAGTTTTGTGGGGCTGAGGAGAGCACTCACTATAGTTCCCGCGGTAGTAGAAGAGCTTTTGCATGTCTAGATGAATGATGTCTGTGCACACGTCGTCCAAGAAGCCCTGGTCGTGGGAAACGATGAGGAGGGTTTTCTTCCATGTCTGGAGGTAGCTGAAAGAGGGAGCGGAGCAGAAGCAGGAAAAACAGCAAGTTGGGATTGGTCTCCAAAGTGCAAACAACGTCTTACTCCAACCTTCACCCATCTGTATTCCAGAAGGGAGGGAAGAGGGCAGAGCCGAGGAGGAGGGAGGGCATGGTCTCCTGGGGACATCCGCTAGGCTGGAGCTGGCCATGGGCCCAAGGTCCTACATGCTTGCCTGAAGGCTTGCCTGCAACCTTAAGGGGCCTCACAGCCATCGCTTCGGGCTCAGGAGGCTAGCCAGCAACGTACTTGTTAAGCCAGATGACGGCATTGAGGTCCAAGTGGTTGGTGGGCTCGTCAAGCATCAGCAATGTGGGCTCCATGAACAGTGCTCTGAAAGGGAGAATGAAGAGCAGTGACCACCTGAGTGGTCCCCTCCGGAAAGCCACGTGCCCTGCATGGGAAGGGACAGCAGCTAACCTGGGCAGGAAGGGCTTAGGAAGAGACAAGCTCCAGGTATCTGGGAACTCCTGGAGCTAATAAGCAATGGTCTGTACTGGCCTTCGCCAACCTGGTGCCGCCGGGATGTGTTGGGACTACAACCTCCATCATTTCCATCCAGCAGGACCAATGGTCAAGAACACAGGCAGCTGCAGTCCGCAACATCTGGAGGGCACCAGGCTGATCTCTAGACGATTAGCTGACCTGAGGTCTCACATACAGGAAGGATCTTGGAGGCTGGAAATGGGAGCGTGTGGTGTTTATGAAAGCCACCCTGAAAACAGTTTGATGGCGGTCAACAGATAAATTGAATGAATGCATACATGTATTTATTTATATTTCATGCCTACGCTACCCCACAGCTGAAGCTCTCTGGTAATAAGTAATTATTACTTAATCACAGTCATTCATTCATTCATTTACATTATTTGAATTCTGCTTCATGCCTAAACAGATTTTTATTCTACCCTTCACTCAGGGCAGTGTGAGAGGTCACCCCACTCCCCCGGTAACAACCCTGTGAAGGAGGTTCAAGGTATGGTGCGTAGTCCCAGGGGCACATGGTGATTTTGGTGTCTAAGAGGGGATGTGAACCAAGGCCTCACACGTGCGGAACAGCTTCTTTCCTACAAAGCTGTACTGAAGAAAGAACCTGGAAAACCCAGAAAGTTTCCAAAGTATTAAAGTCTGATTCAAACTTGACCAATAAAACCCGTGTTTCTATTTCACTCGACATTAATCAGTCTCTAAGGACTTGTGAGGTAGTGGAGATGCGGTTGCCCAGTGGCCTCCCTACCCAGCACTAAAGTTACCTGGAGCAAGAAGAAATGTTAACTCAACATGCATGGCTTGCTTCTCTTCTAGAGGAGACACCATTCAAGTACTCCTTTTCTCCATCTTCTGCCTCATAATTACCTGGCCAGGGACACCCTCATGCGCCAGCCCCCGGAGAACTTCTTGGTTTGCCGGTTCTGCATCTCGGGATTGAATCCCAAACCAGCCAGGATTCTCCGAGCTTTGGCCTCAGCCGCTGCCGCTCCCGTGGCCCGCAATTCCTCATAGATCTGAGAAAAGAAGCAGGGGAGCAGGAAAAATGCATAACATGATAGGAGATCCACCTAAAAGAACTGAGCACCCATTTTAGGGGATTATTATCATTCTTATTACATTAGATTACATTTAAATTCAGCCCTTCCTCCTCTTGCAAGGAACACAAGGCCTCTTACAAGGTTGTAAGAGATCATGATGCTAGTAGACAGCTTTTAAACAAATCTAGTAAATAAATAAGGCTCTCCTCCTCTCCATTTTTTCCTCACAACAACCCTGTGAGGTAGGTAAGGCTGAGAGTCTGCTACTGGCCCAAAGTCACCCACTGAGCTTGAAGGCCAAGTGGGGACTAGAGCCCAGGCATCCCAAGTCCCAATCCAACACTGTAGCCATTATGCCACACTGGCTCCCAGAAAGGGCGTTACAGAGGGAAAAAGGAGATTTGGCAACAATATGGGTCAATGAAACTAGCATGCCTTGCCTAATTTGCTGACAGGGTAGGACACTTGCCAACACCAGCTGCTCAGACAGTCCATTCATCCTTTTAAATGTTACTTCACGGTTGCTAGGCTTCCAGCATTTGTGCTCCATTTCTTCATTGCACACTGAACACTGCATGATCCATGAATATACTGTCACATTTTATTTATGCATCTAATTTGTACCTGCCTTTCTACAACGAAAAATGGCACTCAAGGCAGCTCCTCTCTTCTGTCAGCCAGCAATGCAATTCACTTGCTCACCTTGCAAATATAACAGAGATGCTACAGAGCATTCATTCTCTTGCTTTTCCCATTGTCAGATTGGTTCCCTTCTCTTTGTCTCAGGTAAAAATGATAAAAGAAAATAAGAACAACATGCTAGATTGGAACAAAGGCTCCACTTGTGCTATTAAAAATGTGTATTCAGCTCCTAGAAAAGGGCTGACAGGGCAAACTGCTCACACCTATTCTGTATCAGTCTGAAAATTATTTTGCTGGCTTTTCCCTCCCTATCCCGTTCCTTGTGTGTTGATTCTTTGTCAATGGTAAGTCTGCAGGGGTCATCTCATTTTACTGATTGATTTTAAGTTGCTCTGGCATTCTTCTTTTGTCTAAAGAGCAGCATAAAAATATTTTATGTAAATAAGATGTACGGTCTCTACTTGGTCCTGGGAAACAGATGCATAGCTAGATCAGTTAACGGAGACCAGTTACCCTTTAAAATGCTTTAAACACTGTCACACTCACAACTGGGTGATTAAAAGGCGGCATTAGCAGTACATTCTCCCAGAAGAAGCCTGCAGGTGAAGGGGTGATTTCTATCACTGCAAGGGTAGAACAAACTTGCCAGCAGTGCAGCGACCCTGGGGATGCACTGCAGGGGAACCGAACTCAAGACATGCCTTGACTGGTGCCGACTCCTCCAACACAGGATGCAGGAATTTTAGAGGCACATGGCCCGTCCGCGTCTCGGCCCCCTTGGCACAACACGGCCGGCACACCCGCGTACCTTCTCCAGCCGCTCCGCTGCGGTGTCATCCCCCTTCTCCAGCAGGGCCTGCAGTTGCTTCTCCTCCTCCAGCAGCTTCAGCCGCTTGGTGTCAGCTTTGAGCACGGCTTGCACCGCGGGGGTCTCATCCGCAATCACCTCTGTGAGGATGAAGAAAGCCACGGTGAGGAGCAGCAGCCCAGCAGGGGCTGCCTTTTAAGACTGGCAGCAGCGCGACATGGAATTGCAGAGGAATGGCTTTCATGGCACTAAAGCCAGACAAGAAAATCAAGTTCTGGATCTGGCTGGCGGCACAAAAGGGCGGATGCTGTGCTTGCCCTCTTCACACATGTTGGCACTCTGGCCACAGTGGCGGATGTCATGTGATGGCTAAGAGGCTGGGCTAAATATCAGGAAATCGCTGGTCCGATGCCAGGTAGGGCCTTCCCCCTCCCCACTCCTGCCATGGGCGGGGGGTGGGGGGCGAAATGCTGCTGATTTTTAACTAACAAGGTTGCTATCAAGGTTGCTACTAGTATGTACACATGAGGCACTCTGAACATGCGGACACACCGGGCAAAGAAAACAACTGCACCTTTCTCATAGGCTTTTTATTGCTATGGATTGTGATGTGCTGACAGCTCTAGTCCAGCTGGGGATGAAGAAACAGAGGACAGAATTATCAATGGCTATCAGCTATAGCAGCTATGAACCTCCAGCTCATGTGTTGGTGGATCCAGCTGCTACCAGAGGCAGGGGGAGAGAAACTAGCTTCCCCGTCCTCTTTGTAGGCTCTGTTGGGTCATGCTGAGAATGTGGATCCCAGAATGTAAAGGGCTTTGGTCCAAGCCAGCCGCATCCTTCTTGAATAGGGCTTGAATAGGGCTCACAGGGCTGCTGTGGAAGTCAGTTAAACCCAGGCCTGTAACATGTAGCAGCCAGGTCAAACTGTAGCAGTTCCATGTCGAGATCCCTGCTTAGCCATGAAGGTCCTCTAGGGCGCCTTGGGCAAGGCAATCCCTCTTGGCCTAGCCTATTTTGGCAGAGTGTGGACAAAATGGGGTGAACTCATGCATGTGACTTTGAGCTGCTGAAAGGAAGAGCAGGAGAACAGAGGCAAGATTAAAAAAAAAACACAAACAAACAAACAAACAAACGATGCCAGGGCATGACCCAAGGGCACGCTGCTCAGCTACTTCGCTGAGGGGCTCTGGTCTGGCCCGGACACCTCTCAGGAACCCCAAGGCATCCCCTCCTCACTGGGATGGACAGACGACTGGGATGCACATGCACTGGGCTTAGGGGGAAGGAATCAGCCTCTGGATGTCCGCCGCCCATGCAGAGCGCTCCTCCACGCTTTACACAAAAGACAGGCAGCGGGGCACGTCGCAAGGCAGCCCTGCACTGGGTGCAGGAGGCACCGCAACACAAGGAAACAGAGACGTGGGGATGGGGCAGTGCCCCACGAGGTTAGGAAAGAGGCTTGAAAGAAGGGTTGGGAACTTGTGGGCCCCCAGACTGATTGATCGATTGATTATGCATACCCAAATCCTCCATCAGCGCTGGCACACTCAGTCAATGGTGAGGTGCAGTGGGAGCTGTGGGCAAAAAACCAAATGCCCCATCCAGAGGGCAGCAGGGGCACTAGGAATCTTGACCCCAGCTTAACTGTGGGTTACCTTGAGGGAGCGAGGAATCCCACACAGCTAGTCTATCTCACAAGTTTCTTGTTAGGATAAGAGGAAATAAGGCTATATTGGAAGATGTCGTAAGCCCCAGAGGCAGCCTAGGAAAGAAACCCTGACAAAGACATGACTGTCTGCATTTTCTTCATTCAGAAACAGCTATTAAGGCAGAACTCTCCTCACTCTATAGGGCTGCTCCCCCTCCTGCTTTACTCTACGGCCTTCTCAGACAGCATCAGTCTGAGAAAGCCGTACGTGAGAAGGCCCGCTTTACTCTACGGCCTTCTCAATCTCCACCTCTGAGCTCTCCACAAGCACCATGCAGAAACGGAGAAAATGCCCTGCCTCCTCTTGGCGGAAGGGCACATGGTGTGATCTGCACGCACAATACCCATGGCCCAAATTCTAGCATCTCCAGTTAAAAGGTCAAATGAGGGGAAAGAGCCCTGCCACAGGCCCTGGAGAAACATTGCCAGGGATGGACTGTATTCAGTGTGAGGAGGTCTGAAGTTCAACAGAGGGCACAGCTCTTATGTTCTTATGCAGTGAACTTCCACAGGCCCCAGCAGCCAAGGTTTCTTGGGCCATGCCAACATTTCATGTAGAGCCTCAGCAAATACTAGTTAGAAAGAAAGATCATTGTCATGAAGTTGTCTTTCCCAATTATGCTCCTTAGACAAGGGGCTTTTGCTGTGAGAAACAAAACTGTTTGCTTTACTAAAGCAGCCTGGCTCATTTCCCAGGAAGAGCAGATAAACTTGTGGCCTACTGATGGCCTCTGAAACAGGGACATAGTGCCTTAACATGAGCTTTGACTTTCAGCTTGGGACAAGGAGTGTACTAGCATCCGAACTTGGGCCCACGAGCGGTATCTACGATATTAGGAAAGGACTGGAAGAACTGAAGTTCACCATTGCCTGTTTACTGATAAACTGCACCCATATTCCAACTTTGCATTCAATAAGCTGAATGTTGTCTTTCCCACAAGTCATTTCACCTCTCCCTGATCTTCCTTGAACGTAATCCCGAGGTGGCCATGGCTGGACTAGGTCCCTGGGGCAACTGCGCAGACAATCCTGGCCTGGAAGGACCAGTGGGGCGCCTGGGGTACAGGGCTGCTTCCAGCCGTCCACCTTTACCTTGTTCACAGAGCAGCACATCGATATTGGGAGGGATGCTCAGGGCCCGGTTGGCAATGTGTTTCAGCAAGGTGGTCTTGCCTTTCCTGAAAAGAGAGGGACGTGCCTGTGTACAAGGCCAGGGCCATCAAGACAAACACCTCACAAGGGTGTAGAGTCGGTGCGGAAGTGGAAGACAAAGCAGCAGACTTGGTCAAGGAGGGCCATGGCTCAGTGGCAGAGCCCCTACTTTGCATGCAGCAGGTCCCAGTCTCAAATCCCAGACACCCCCAAGAAGGCTGGGAAAGCCTCCAGCCTGCAAGCCTGGAAAGCCACCCAAAGTCAGTCCCAGCGATACTGGGCTAATTAGACCCAGAGGCAGCTTCCCATGTTCCCCAGGTTGGTCTCATTCATCCCCAAAACATTCCCAGTGGCACCCAGTCTTTCCAGCACGAAGCTGGAGGCAGTTTAGATAACATGGGAGATGGTTTCAGTTGCCACTAGGGGAAAGCAAACACACACACACACACACACACAAAATGGTGGCGATTCAGTTCACGCCATATACCTACCCATTAGGCCCCACTAGGCCATAGCGGCGCCCAGCCACAATGAAGAGGTCTGCATTGACAAACAGCTCTTTGCCGTGAGCCGAGATGCTGAACTTCTCCAGCTGTAATGGGAGGCAAAGGGCTTTAGACAGTGCTTTTCATCAGGTGGCTCTACCAGTCTTGTTCTTGCAGTTTTGCTGCTGTGCTGATTTTGTATTTTCGGGCTTTCCCTGTTCCTGCAAGGCAAAGGGGTACCTTGATGTCCGAGGCATTCTCCAGCATAGCTTGTCGTGAGGACATTTCTGCCTGTGACAAGGAGAAGTCATTCTCTGCCGCACTGACTGCTTTCAGGGTTGCCACCTGCCGCTCAAACTCCATCTGCAGGAGCAGAGAGAAACCAGCCCATTTACTGATTTAAAATACCTTTATACTCTCATTGGAATGAGTCTCCACAAGATCAACAAGATACACTTTTACAACAATAAAAATACACAAAACAGCCAAGCAAAGCAGCAGCATAAAAGATTTCAAGTAACAGCAAAAGTAAACATGGCAATATTTAAAATAACCAGAGGCACCCAATAACTTAAAAGGAGACGGGAACATCAAGGTCTTTAAGACCCACTTGGAAACAAACAGGGAGGAAACCAAGGGCACATTCTAAGGCAAGGCATTCCACAAGGGAGGGGCCCCTGCATAAAAGGCCCCACCTCTTGTGCTCACAAACTGAACAGGACTTGCCATTAGGCAAGTGAGTAGGGGCTCCATGGCCCCCTTTAGGCCAAGGCTGGTTTGTAGAAGTAGTCCTTCAAATAACCTTGTACCATGGAGCACGGCGAACATCCTCCACTATTTCCTTGTGAGCTACCATATTGTCCACCAACTCATCCTCTGCATACTTATCCGTAAGCTGCTGAGGGAGCTATTCCAGGTACAGAGTGGGATCTAAATGCTGCTGCTGCTAATTCATGTTTCATTCCAGCTAAGGTAATTTTTAAGCAAGTCTGATTCTATCACTGATATGGAGAAACCTTTCAGTCAGGCATGATCTTGGCTAGAATATTGCTTCTCTTTTGACCTTTCCAACTTGGAAACCCTCCTGTTTAATCAGCAACCCTCAGATCCACACTTTTCTCCCTGGTTCCTTTCCCCTCCTTGCTTGGATCATTTTGGGACACCTCCCTTGCTCCCCACGACAGAGATTCTCAAATCTGAGTACACTGAAGAGAAGTTCTACCAAAATCAGTAGGGTTTACTTCCAAGTAACTGCATTTAAGATTAGGGAGTATGTGTGCATACATGTACACACACACACACACACACACACACACACACACACACAATCTTCCTGTGTTGTACTCTTCAACATTCCTACAGTTCAGATTTGACCATTTAATGTAAAAATAAGGAAATATCAAGGCAATACAAAAAGTACACAGCTCAAAACCGCTGCATCAGCAGATACAAAAATGACATTTTCTACAATTCTAACATTTGAAGAATCAACTGGGATTTTAAGCTAACAATTACATGGCAACACAGTTGCTCAGCAACCGCATTCCTTATATAGCAAAACCAGCCCCTCCCTGAATGAACAGAGCACTTCCACAACTTAGTAACAATTCCGGCATTTTGACCAACAGGCACTATACAAATCCCAGGTTAGAGGTGCTGGTAAATGGACATGCCTAGAGTTACCCTCCTACCCTGATGTCCCACCTCCCTAATTTCAATATCTGGGGTCTGGCTGTGTTTACTTAGTGATAAGAGGAAAAGGGCACTATGCAAGTTCGGAAGTGTTCTTGTTTTATTTCTGATTCAATCCCACAAAGCGTAGCCAGCATGGTCAATGGTGAGAGCTGATGGGAGCTGTAGGCTAAAATATTTGGAGGGCCACATGTTGCCCACCCCATCTGTAGGTGAAGTCCTCAATACAGCACAGTCAATTCCCAATCTAGGCCTCAGCTGAGCCCTTAGGACAAACTCCCAAAGGAAGGAAAGGCTGAGGATTCTGGGAAGACAAGCAGAGTGAATAGTAACGGCAGCTGACAAGCAAAGGCAAAACAGGCTGCAAGCTCCTTCATGCAGAAGTACCAGCTGAACAACGACAGAGAGGAAGAAACTTCTAAGGCTACAGGGCTTCATCGGACTCTCACCTGTTTCTTGAGTTTCTTCTTTTCTTTTTTGCTGAGGTGTGCATAGGGGTCATCCTCCTTCTTCTCCCCGTCCTCTTCATTGTCCTCCGATTGCTACAAGATTCAGGAGGAGCCAGTATGTGTTAGCAAAAGATGCCAAGCAAGGAACCTTGGAGTACTTGCTACGAACATCCTGGAGCAAGGAGTCTTCTGTCCCACACCTCCCTGCCAATAAGATCCCACAGGGCTCAGGATGGCAGCTCAGTCCTCATGTCCTCAGCCTATGATGTACCTGCAAAAGGCTCCGAGTTCAAGTGCTGATTTCTCCAGGTAGGACAAGGAAAGAATTCTGCCTGGATCTCTGTGGAGCTGCTGCCACTCCAGGCAGACAATACTTGGCTATATGGACCAAATCACATGGCTCAGTAGAAGGCTCCTACGGGCCTAAGACTGCTCCTGCAGGGAATGACCACTAGAGATGCTTCCATCTGATTGTTTCCATTTCACAGGGAACAAAGTCACTGGCAGGACCCATAGAGAAGGTGCAAATCACAGGCTGAGCAATGATATTTCTCCCATTCTTTCTTCTCTGATCTGATTCTCAGAGCCCTCTATACCAAGTTGGACCAAGGGGTAGCTTGGTAAGACGGATAAGAGCTTTATGGAATATCATGGCTATGCTAGTCCAAACATGAGGGCAGCCTTCCTCAACCTGTCACCCTCCACATGTTTTGGAGTACAACTCCCATCTGTCCTAGACAGCATGGCCTACAGTCGGAGATGATGGAAGCTGTTGTCTAGGTTGGGGAAGGCTGCACTTGGGTAAGTTTTAAGCAGAGCACTGCAAGTCCCAGACTCACACACAGCTCTCATCACACAAAGAACGTTTTGCACCCCTCAACCATCCTTTTCTCTCCAAAAGCAGAGGCAGAAAGCAAAAGAACATCAGGCAATGGAATCGGCCAGCCTTTTGTGTCTGGCAGGAGGCAGTGACTAAGGCCATGTTAAAGTGATGCAATCAAACTGAGTATCGTCCTTTGGCACTGGGTGAGGGTGCCTTACCGGCTGGCTGCTCTGCTTGGACTTCTCTTTGCTCTTTGTGGATTCCTCCTCTTCCTCCTCCTCTTCCCCCTCCTCCTCGTCACTGTCCATCTCCTCAAGTTCCAGAGCAGCAAACATGTTCTGTGGAACCAAAGAGACCCAAGCACAAGTAAGCTCCCATCATGCACCAGAAAAAGGTCAAAATGAGATTTACTGCAGGCAGCCCCATGCCCAAGCTGCACCAGGAGAGGCGTGCATTCCTGAGCACTCCCCAGCACGTATGCAGGCGCAGTGTTGAGTTAAGCCTGGGATGTGCCGCGGGTGGGTGGCTTTTAGAGAGCCTCATCGACTCAGCCCTGCATGTAGCAACTCGGCTGCTAGCCACGGGTAAGCATGAATCCCATGCTAAGAAGCGAGCCACCAGCCAGAGTAGGCAGGGCTGAGCCAAATGGGCCAGTGCCCCAACTCCATCAAGGTCAATTCTGTATCTTCATAAAGAGGCAGACATAATCCATATTCTGAATTCTGGAGGCTCTATTTCAAGCAGTTCTACTTAAATCAAGGGTGGGCAACTTGCTTGTGAGGAACGTTAGGCCCTATCAACCCAGACTGCTGCCACTGAATTTGAGGCTACTACAACGACAACAAAAACATGGGTTTTTTTTCTTTCAAATAAGCTGTGTGCCCCCCACATGCCTCATTTTAGAGAAAAGCTGATCGTTTCCTGTCTCTGCACTGCCGCGCCTCCACATTTTAGTGACAGAATATTGAAAGATCACATACTCCAGAGGATATCACTACCGACCCACAGAAGTTGCCTGTTCCTACTCGAAATTATATGTGGGGGAGAGCTAGAAATATGAAAGAAAGTTCTAAAGAGCATCCTTATAGCATGTAGTATCAGTTTGAAACCTCACCGAGCAGTTGCACACTTTGGTAAGAAAACATTCGAAGGAGATGCCCTCTCTTTTTCTGCCCTCCCCCCAAATGCGTCTCTGCCTGACTTTTGCTGCATCTGGTTCCTGCCAGTTCCTGCAATGCTGTGTTGCCTCAGCAACAGAGGTCTTCTTGTTTGCCGGAGTGCCTGCATCTCGCTTCCCCCATATCCAGCCTCACTGCATATATCCTGCCTTGCTGTCTCATCCCAGCAGTGCAGGTCTTCCTGCAGGTGGTGCGGTTCAGCTCCTGCATCTTGCCTGACCCTTGCCTTGTATCTTGACTCACCAGGTACTTTGTCTTGTCATGGTGCCTCAGTAATGCAGGCTTCATTCAGCTCCTGCATCTTGCCTGACCCTTGCCCTGTACGTGGCCTTGCTGGGTGTCCTCTCCAGTTATCTTGCCTTAAGAAAGCAGTAGCTCTGTTTGCCCTCTTGGTTCTCGGCCCTTGGCTTGTTCATGTCCACATCCTTGTCCCACCCTGATACAAACGTCTGGCTCCTGACCCTGGTCTGTTCTGTGACTGTGACCTGGACTTGCTACTGCTCCTTGCTTTTGGACTTGCCTCAAGCGTATTTATTCTGGCCTGTTGCTCTGGTCCTGGGGCCTCTTTCTTGTCCCCTGCCACTCACACCCTGACTCCTGACATTTTCCCATCAGCCACTGTGCCAGAAATTCAACCTCAAGGTACATTTCTCCCAGCCTTTATCGCCTGAGTGTTCCTCAGTGGTCCAACATAGAGAGTAAATGGCTGGAATGGCTCCTGCAGTTACTGCTTTTTTCAGGGAACTCTGTGATAGTGGTATACCAGGACTGTGAAAAACATGATCCTGGTTCAGACAACACAACAAGCCATGGTGGTACAGAGAAACCACAGAACAAATTGTTCTTTCTTATAATGGTTTCTAAAGTCCAAACCTACCATGGTGAAATATCACAGGTAGGTTCAGACAACACAACAGGCCAACAATGGTAAAAAATTATCATGGCTTGTCATGTTGTTTGAATCCAGTCATAGCTTAAATATACTGCTGTAATCTAAAGAGAGATGCACTTATACCTATTTGAATAAAGGCCACACAATCTTCCTCTCTCATTTAAACAACAGGAGAAGACAGACAGCATATGGTGGGGCCTTCTCTTATCATAACCTTTCAGCCTCCAAGGCCTTCTTTACAGCAGTCCCCAGCCTGTGAGTGAGATTTTGGCTCTAATGCCAACAGGAAACAACCCCAGGCTCCTTACCTTAGTTGGTTGGTTCTTCTTCCCTTTGGGTTTTTTGTCAGTTTCATCAGACTTGGTGTCAGTCTTAAAAAGAGAAGAGAGAGAGAGAGAGAGAGAGGAGATCCAAGAAAAGGAAAGAAACAGCATGAATGCAAGAAAAGTGGCCATTGCAATAAACACAAAAATGGGAAGAATTTCCATCAAAAATCCATTGTTTTTTCTTTTTGGGTTTTTCCCTCAAATTCTTTTTTCTTGGTCTTCACATTTCTACTCCCATTCATAAGGTAACATTTTTCTTAGCTTTAAAGTGAGTTAGCCCAGTCTTATAATAAGTTCACAAAAGTTATTAGCCTGTTATTTTTCCCACTATCCTGCTAAGACTGGATTCAGTCAGGTTGGAGTTAGCCAACTGAACACCATCCTCTCTCTCCTTCATGTCTGCTGACAGCAAGGTTCCTTGTCTTTATTCATGGGCGTCAGGATCCCTGTGAACTGCTCTGCCTATTGTATGTAGATGAAAATTTCCAAATGAATATGGAAACTTTGCTCTGCTCGACAATGTCTATTTATTTATTTCATTTATGACCTGTCTTTTTTCTTACAAGAAACTGGCTTACATCATTCTCCTCCTGCTGCTATAAATCTCATCCCCACAACAACCACCCTGTAAGGTAGGTTGATTTACATGAGCTGCAAAGGAGGAGGACAAGCAGCTTTGGGCTTGCAGAAGCAAAGGGTAAGTGCAGTGATGTCTCCTGATAGTAGCTGAACGGGTTAGTTCAACCAGTGAGCCCATTTATCTAATGGCTGGACCTCTCCTGCCCCTATCCATCTGCCACCCTCTCAAACACCTCCCAAGCTCCACTTCTCTCATACCTTTGACCTGTCCTTGGGCTTCCTTACTTCCTCATCAGCTTCTTCCTCATCACTCTGAGCCAAGATGGCAAAGGCTGAGCCTCCTCTCTGAAAATTCAGAACAGACAATCAAAATGCACTCTGGGTTAAACAGGAGAACCTCACGATGGAGCAAAAAGAAGATGACTGGGGATGCTCTCCTGATAAGGGAAGGATCAAAATCTTGTACAAATTTAAACTTCAGTTGTGTTTCAAGATTTGCCTCTGAAATTTGGCATTGGGAAGATGTGGGCCAGAATGCCCTGGGTTTTGGTTCCTTCCATCACTAGGCACTGATTCTTTCCCTGCCACCAAAGGTACCAGCTGCGAAAGCAGTTTCACAACTACACTAGACCCAGCTCCTAGTCCAGGAAACCTGCTGGTCCATGTGCCAATTTCCCTCATTTCCCTTACTGCCCAAATCCCTTCTGCCATGAAAACAAAACTGTGGGAATAAGTGTATTCTAATGTGGTCTGTATAGTAAATTAAGAACCAAAAATTGCTTTGAAAAGCAAGAGTCCTAAGGGTCTATTTAACTTAGAGGCCTTAGTTTCAAAAACAAAGAATCTCCCAGTCCTTGTAACATTGGAATGACACCAGCTTGCCTTCTAGCACAAAGAGGATGCAAGGCAGTAAGCGGAGGACATGAAATAATCTGAACCCCTTAGACAGCCTTAACTGCTCTGAGATTGTTATTAATGGGTGGAATACATATTTGCAGAATAAAAGCCGCTACCAACATCTACATATCCATTATTCATGATAAAACCCGAACACCAAACCTGCTGTTTCCCTTTGTTCTTCTCATTTTTCTTGCTCTTCTTCTTGGTGTCTTCCTCATCCTCCTTCTGAAAGACAGAAATTATGGACTCTTATCCTGTCCTATCCCAAGTATCACAAATAAGCATGGGAAAACCCCTCTTACTTCCCAGGGTAATTTGGATTGGAAGAGTCTAAGGAAGTTGTGAAATCTTTCTACTGAGCTTTTCAAGAAATGCTGGAAGCAGATGTCAGCCCCATATGTAAAATGTTCCTATCTTTGGATTTAGGAAACACCTAACAGCATTTGTGCCATTGAATAAATAGAATTTTATTCAATGCTGAAATCCAAACCTTGGGACAGCCTTTCCCAACTTGGCACCTTCCAGATGTTTTGGATGACAACTCCTGGCATTCCTGGCTGGAGAGGGAAGGTCAAACTAGACATGTAGAGACGATGGGAATTGCAGGCCCTATTTTCTCACCTCCAGCTTAGGAATTTGGAATATTAATTCTCCCCTCATAACAGTCATTCCCTGGCCATTCTCATGCTGAAAAATTCCCAAATTCTGGGCAAGAAAGCCAAATCCTATGATAAATTATACGGCCTTGCTTTGCATAGCTTACCCTTTTGCTAATCTGCAAAAAGAAAACAGAGCTACACAGAAACTCCCTCCCTAGCCACCAAGAACCCTCCCTGCTGCTACATCCAAGTTCTTTTACCAAACCTTCCTGAAGTGCACAAGAGCTACATTTTGCTTTTTAAAGAAAGTTTCAAATTGTGCTTATGCACTACCTGGGAGTCCAGTCTGCGGGACCATCCAAAAGTCTTAAGCCATAGAAAGCATGCAAAATTTGTGGGACTGCATCCCACTCGCGCCCCCTGATCGTGTTCACTTCCCACTGGATTCCAGAATGCAGCTAACCTTGTTGATCTTGTTTTTATCAGGCTTGATGGACTTTGGAGGTTCCTCCTCCTCTTCCTCCTCACTCTGCTCCTGACTCAAGGCAGCAAACACATTTCCTCCCTAAAGTGGGCAACGAGAAGCAGCAGCAGTGAAAAGACTGCAGAAACAAATAGCACGGGGTCACCCCCCTTCTGCTGGGCACCAAAGGCAAAAGAGCAGCTTCTCCAGGGAGAAGCCGTTTCCAAAAGCCTTTCAGTCTAGGCTGCAAAAATAATTAGGGCCATTTTGTGTTCTGTCTCATGTATATTACAGAAAAGGTGGAGTCAGTCATCCAGTCTGCACATCACAAACAACCTACAGTTAGTTAATCATGGCTGCTGATAATGAAGTGGGATTGAACTACCTTCTTAGCTCCTGGCCACCCAACTGAGTTAAACAACCCATCTCTGTTTGTGATGCACAACTTACAACCCATGGATTACAGGCAGTTCCCAAGTTATGAACATTCAAGTTAGGAACGACCTGTGCTTACAAATGAATTGCCATAAAGCCTGTGATTTTAAAAAAATACTGCTGAAAATAGTCATTCCCATAGAGAGAGAGGAAGCAAAAGGGGAGAAAGGGAAGGCCTCCAAGGCATGTTTTCCTACCCTTCCCATCCTGAGAAGGAAATCTCTCTGGCGTTTCTTTGCTGCAAAGAGGAGGCACTGTGAGTTTGGCCAATGGGCATGGGCTAGAGATAGTTGTGGTTTTTCCACTTTCACAGGGGTACAGCATCCCTAACCCTGCAAATCTGGAGGGCTGACTATATGTGATTGGACTTGCACATTTGACTTAAAGATGAATTTCCATTTTCTCAAGAAGACAACTCATTCATAAACCAGCGACTGCCTCTATTTTTAAGTTACAAGTCTAGGTTATTCCTCTTACACCAACCCCGAATTCAGAATGACAGTGCTACCCAGGACTGGTTAATTCAGCAGGTTGATAGGAACAAGCTTGCTTATTCACTCACTCCAATTTATTCACGGTTATCAGGGTAAGTTTAAATTCTAGGTAGTCAGTGATGCATTGCTAATGCAAAATATATATACATATATACATATATTGCAAAGAACTAGAAAAATGCAAAACTAATTATATGTAAAGAACGATTTGCTTAAATTTGGCAAATTGCACAATTATTGAAAACAGTGAGGTTACATTAAGGGATGGTAGACAAAAGCATCTCACATTCATGGAGGCGTGAAAAACTTTGGCTGAATACTGAAAAAATAATTACCGCATAGAAATTAGCACATATTCCTGCTTTGCTACTTCTTTAATTATTTGTGTAAAGGTGAGGTGGTTTCTTAGAAACCACTCAGAGCCTATGGAAATGGGGAAGTATATAAATATTAAAATTAAATAAACAAATATTTGCTACAATGTGTTAATACACAAGAAAGGGAACTATAAGGTAGAATAAATTATATACAATGATAACTGTACATAAGTAGTATTACATAGGTACATAGGTATTACAAAAGAGATAGTAATTTAGCATGCATTGTTGTTTTGTTGTTGTCAGTCGTGAAGTCGCATCCAACCCATCGCGACCCCATGGACAACATTCCTCCAGGCCTTCCCATCCTCCACCATCCCCCGGAGTCCACTTAAGCTCACGCCGACAGCTTCAGTGACTCCATCTTGCCACTGTATCACATATTGTTATATATTTTCATATTTTTATAATATGTTATTTATACCTAAAAACAAGATATCAATCTTTTTGCCATTATATATAAAACTGCTGGAGCCACAATTAAAAAGATAGTCCAGTTGACCTTTTCCTTCACGGAGTGATGTCTATGACCTAGTTGTCGAATAACTTTGTTTCATACTTCAAGTATTTCAGTAATGCTATCTCCCCAAGATAAGCTCTAAGATAAGACATCTGCTGAGGACATTGGGCCCATAGCCGGAGGCCGTCGGAATCAAATAAAAATGCTTTTGTCCCTCTCTAGTCACTTTGCTAGCTATGAGAGAGGAGAGTTGGGAGAAGTACTTTACCTGGTTGCCACCAACAAAGCAATGTATTCTCAGAAGGAATGAGCAGTGAGGTTGTCAGGCAACCCATGGACCTTCCTTTCCTCCCCCACCCCAAAATCATTCCGACAACTGTGAGGATAGGGGTGCTTTAAGAAATGGAGGGGATTCTAATCTGGCTTTATGATCAGCAGTACAAGTCAAAGCATATCTACTCAGGAGTATGTTCTACTGTCTTCCATGGGGTGTACTCCCAGACTTCAAGGGACTTCAGCCTGAGCAAACATAGCCAGAGTGAGAGAGGGGAGGCAGATAAAAATTACTGACTGAAAAATAATTTTAATTAAATTATTAATCTTTTAATAATGTTAATAATGTTTTGAAATGGCAATGTACAGAATAGTGCACAGCATTTTCTCCTGCTGCTAGAAATATGGTATTTTTGCAATTATTGCCTTTGATTGCCTAGACAATGTAATTCTACTTATTGTACATTATCACATGCATATACTGCTTGATATTAAAAAATCTCCAAGTGGCTCACATACTTTATTAAGAGTCTCACTTAACAACAATATTAAAAGAGGATTAAAAAAAATTCAACAAAAAAGGCAAATACATTTACAATAACAGTTTTAAGATTTTTAAAATGACAACAACAATATAAGAAGCAGTAAAATGGAGCAGCATATGATCACCTTCATTTACTTTACCCTAGTGAAGGCCTATGAGTTATGAGGCATAAACAGTACCAATGTATATAACCTGGAATTTTTGCAATCAAGTGTTATTCTCAACATATTGTATTTTATGTTACATGGGAAGAAGACGTTATAATCTGATTATCGGAGCTGTTGAATATATTTGTACAGCTGTTTAAAAAAATTCTAAGAGGAACATGGGCAAAGTACCTTAGTGATACAACATTTGCACAAGAGAAGCAGAGGGACTCCTGAGAAATGTGGAAAAGGGAACAGCTCCCCAGGGTAATTCTGTGCCAGGACAATACCAGCTGTTGGGACTACTGTGGCTTTAGTGGCCTGTGATTTTGACCATCTGCAAGTCTTGCTTTATTAGGTCCATTAGGTAGGCATGTCATGAACAGAGCCGGCTGGAGCCAGGGGTCAGAATAGAAGGCCCAGGAGGCCCCTTCTGACTTGCTCTGATTCTATGTTTCTATCCCTCCTGATGTGGAGGGCAACTCACAGTCCACTTATTCCCCACCCTGCCACAGCAAAGGAAATTTCAAGACAACCAAGAACTCACCTTTTTTTTCTTGTTTGCTTTGCTGATGGGGACAGACACTGCAAAAGAGAGGAAAAGAGTAATGACTGGCCGGGCCAGAAGTCACTCTACCTACCTACCTACCCTCATCTGTGCCGGCAGGATCAAGGTTCACAAGCAGAGATGAAAGACATCAGCCTACTCCAGCCTCTGTCTATGGCAGGGGTGGGCAGTCTGTGGCCATCCAGATGTTTCTGCCTGTAATTCCCATCACTGCTCACCGTTGGCTATGCTGGCTATGGCTGATGGGAGTTGTAGGTCAAGATACCTGGAGGCTCATGAGTTGTTCACCTCTGGTCGCTCTACAGTGACAGTAAAAATGTACCAGTGGATTCACTGTCCTCCTCCGAGCAATTACTATGATAATGGCATGAGGACTGTTCCAAGGCTTACAGAGTCGAGTCCAGCCAAATGCAGAGGGAAGCTGCCAGTCAGTGCATGACTCTGCCAAGCTTATTACGTGACAGGGAAGACCTCTGATAACTGGCAGCCACACCCTGTTTCTGCCCAGCATCCAGGCGCTCGCTGCCTCTGATCACCAAGGCAGCCTCTGGCTTGCCTCTGCTAATGAGCATCTTGCCCAAGGCCCATCCTAGATGCCAACCTACTTGAAACTCTGAAGCTGCCTCCCCTAGCCTGGTGCCCGCCAGATGATCTGGGCTACAAGTACCAGTACCAGCATTCTGACTATCAGGCACACTGGCTGGGGTTGATGGGAGTTGAAGCCCAATAGCCAAAGGGCACTAGGCTGAGGATGTCCGCTCTGTAGAGCAATCCTTCTGTAGTGGTGAGAGTGATGAACAGAAGAAACATTTGGCAATCCTTGAACAAGGTGCTGCTCCCTCATGCTCAAGAACCCCACCACTGATCCCAGTCTCCAACCTTCTTCTTCCTCATCGCTGGCTTGGGCAGATAACTTCTTCAGCCTCTCTATCAGCTGGTTCTCTTCTTTGTCTTCCTCCACCTCTTTTTTCCTTTGATCCTTTTTTCTCTCTTTCTTTTTCTTTTGCTGCTGTGGCCAAGAAACAGGGAAAAAGAAAAAACAAAAGAGCATGTCAGAGGGTGTTGGGAGTGCGGAGGATGGCTGCTTTGTTCTCAAGGACTGCTGGCTGGGATGCAGAGGAACTGGAATCAGAATGTGAGGCAGATGGGAGGGGGTTGGGGAGGATGGGACATGCTGAGATACTGAGATAAGAGAAGATGGGGTGCTTATCTCAAGGCCAGACTCCCCAGGTGGGCAGGCAGTTCCTGGAAATAACCAAGATGAACAACTGGTGGGAGGGAACCCAGAGCAGGGGAGTTTCTCGGATACAGACCAGGCAGCCCCAGCTCTTGACCCCATGATGCAGCGTGAGCAGTGGAGGGTGGCCCCATTGGTGCATAAAGGAGACGTGCTCACTTTCAGAAAGTCCCTCCTGAAGGGATGGGACCCAGGTATGCTAATAAGGAGAGTTCCTGGAGGTGAATACTAGACTGGGTTCAACAAACCACTCTGTGCATGCTCAGATTCATCCTGGGTGTCTTGTGCATTTGGGTCAGTAAAGAACATTTTGCAAGGAAAAAGGCTTTTGAATGCTTGAAGGAGGAACCTTGGCTTGCAACAGAGGGCATGCCAAATGCTGTTCTCAGCCATGCCACAACTTTGCCATCCGTGCAGCTGCCCTGTTCCACCAGAACACCCTCTCTTGGCAGGGTCCAAAGGATTCCACATGAGCTGGTCTCACTCACCTGCTGCTGTTGCTGCTGCTGCTCCTTTTCCTTCTCAGCTACCTCCTCCTCATTGGCATGCTTCTCGTCTACAGCCAGTTCCTTGAAGAACTTAGGAAACCAACCAAACAAACAAACAAAAAAGGTTTTTGCAGAGATTCCTCTCCCTGTTCTGTAATATAAAAAGCACATCACACTCCTAAAAGTGTGGACAGGGTTATAGCCTGACCACCACAGCACAGTTTAATCAGGGCTGACTGGTGGTACTTCCCTTCCTTTTGGAAGCCAAATCCAGGTCTTGCTACTTTTAAGAACCAGTCTGCTAAACTTGGGAGATGGTCAGGATTGTGCAAGTTGTACTCTAGGTTACCTACCCCTGGTTAGAGTGTTGGACTAGGGAGAGCCATGAAATACCCTGGATGAGTTTTAACTGCTGATTGTATTGCAGTCACACATGGCTGCTCTGAGGATAAAATGGAGGTGAGGCCACTGGAATGCATGTTTGCTGCACTGAACTACTTGGAACAAGTGTGGGATAGAATTCAAATCAATACACTGATAATGACTGAATTGCAAGGTACCTTTTTCAGTGCCTAAAGGGCCAGTGCAGCTGAGCAAAGAAAGCACTGTAGGTGGAAATGCCAGTGCCAGCTTAAAGTCCTTTCTCTGTTGGAACCCTCCCTACACAAGCCACCATCTCTCAGCTCAATTATGGAGGTGGGTTTTGTGGGGTTGAATGAAATAGGAAAGGCAAAGTGTTCTGGGTCACTGGAAAATGAGTGACAGAGCTAGTTTTCCTCAAATGTTGGGCATACCCAAAGGCTTCAAAGCACTGTGAGGAGAAACCAGAGCCCCTGTGCCAGATGGAGAACAGTTAGAACGCCAAGTTTGTGGCACTACGGCCTGTCTAAGCCCAAATAGCAGTGGTGAAGCCACCACAGGAACAAGACTAAATCTTACCGACTTTTTGGTCTTCTTATCCTTCTTCCCCTTCTTTACCAGTTTGTCTGCAAGAAAGAATCAGGAGGTCATCTGCCATCCCAAAGAGGAGCTACAAACCCAGCTGTAGTCTGCTGTGACACAAACTCTCTCAACTTTTTCACTCTCTCACAGACCGAGACCAGGGCTGCCTTCCAGGCAAAGGGCTTCTGACACTACCAATGAGAAGGCACTGGGTGGCTATTCCATCTTTTTCTCCTTAACAATAGAAGAATGACGAAGCAGTGGGGAAGCAGAGAAGGCCTAGAAGTGGAAGTGGCCTCCTCCCCCATAAGAGTCCATGAATGAGGCAGGACAAGGGTGTGTCTGAAGACACTGCAGAAACTCAGGGATCCTGGCAACCAAAAGCATAGCCTACTCCACTCCACACTCAATTACCACATCCACAAACACCAGTCAATTTGGCGTAGTGGTTAGTGTATTAAAGAAATGGAAGACCTGGGTTCAAACCCACTCTCAGCTATGGAGTGCACTGGTGACCTTGGGCTAGCCACCATCTCGCATCTTAATGTACCTCCCTGAAAAAGCAACAGCAGCAGCAGCACCTTGAGTGTTGCATAGGAAGTCAGAGTAAATGTATCAGAACTAGAAGAACCTGCTTTTCACAGTATGTTTTTACTACACTGTTTAAACCACTGGACCACCCCCACCCCCAGTCGCCTACTATAAAATCATAAGGTATAAGACAACATTTTGCCAGAGAGATTTTTACCCATGGCCCAAAGAAAGGTACTCATTACAGCCTTACAAGTAAAGCCCATATAATGGTTAGCACATCTTTCCCCAGCATGGAGCTCTCCAGCTGTGTTCAATTACAATTGGCCGTGGCTGGCTGAGGTTGATACGATTTGTAATACAACACAGTCGGAAAACACAACATTGGGGAAGTCTGGGTTACAGCATCAGACATGGACCAAGGAGGCCTAGATTCAGACTAAGCCAGTTAGCCTAACTCCCTCTCAGACTAACTGACCTTACAAGATCATTATGAGGAAAAAATGGTGAAAGAGAATCTAGTATGTTGCCCTGAGTTTACCTGGGGGAGGCATGCATAACAAATCCATCAAGTTCAGAAAAGTAACTAGACCAAAGTCTGTTTTGCTGGCCTACCCTGCCAATTCTTACCAAGATGAGTCATCCTGAAAGAGGGATAGAGAGAGAGAACTTGTTCTCAGCCATTGTACAAAAATACTAATTTATAAAGGATATAATTCACATCAAGCAGTGGCAAGGCTGCTTAAAAATTTACTAGAGCCGGCTACTAAACATCCACTTAAAAGCACTTCAGCAAAGTGACCAGGCGATGATATCATCACCAAAATTTGAAAAGGACTGGTCAGTTTTCCATTCAGACCATCCATGGGTTTTGAGGAATTTGTGGCGCGCGCACACAGGTATGTGACTTGTGCGGGCTCATTTGCAAGTATACAGTGCAAGATGTTTGATGGATTCAATTTGTGAATACAGCAGGACACATAGCAGTCGCCCACTTTTAGAACAGGAGTGGGCAGCTGTGCTGCTGTTGGGAGCCACAGCTGAGCTGCTTCCTCAGGAGGGAACATTCCTTGGCCAAACGGGGATGTGGCGAAAAGTGAATATACCACCAACATCCCTTTTCTCCTTTACTTTCTTGAATGCACTTCTCTCCTCTTCTTCCTTCCTAGCAGGCTGGCAAGAATGGGACAGATCCTTTTAGCCAGAGGTCTAACTTGGTGGGATGCAGCAGCAGGGGGTGGGATGGTGTAACTTGGTGTCCTGCAACAGCAAGAGTTTTATCTGATGGCCTTCATGGTCCCTCCAAACTCTACTATTCTATGATTCTAAGATTTTGAAATTAGGTGGAAAGATGCCCAAAACAAGGCCAAGGGCCACAAGTTTCCCACCTCTCTTTTAAAGAGAGAGGGAGAGCCCTACTGTTCTTTAGAAGGAGGTTGCAGAAATTCAGCAGGATAATCCTACTTTACCAATCACATAATCTGGATCCGGCTGGCTCTAGATTTGAGGGGTCTTCTACAAAATGCCCACCAGCAGCCCCACTGTATCTCTGTAGATACAGATGGCAGGTTTAGCTGGCAAAGCAGCAGTGCCATGACCCCAATGAGCTCCAAGCCACAGGGTGCAGAACCCACCAGACAACCATGATGTAGCATGAATCCCAAGTGCTGTGGGTAACTAAAATGGCAGCTTCAAGACTTCTACCACAGAACACCATTTTAAGTATGCACAATGCCCCAAAGCGAAACTATATTGGAGGCATAGTTGGAAATTACAACAACAGCTTCCAGAGCACTGTGAGGAAATAATTTAAAAGGGAGAAGGATCACAGTATGTATCACTAATGAATCTTGTTGGGGCACTGAGACCCCAGGAGCTACCCCAGGTTACCAGGTGCTGATGTTGGATCTGGACTGGACTTCTGCCTGTCAAGCAGCTCTTAAAAGTACAATGTGGAAGCCCTACAAAAATATGCACCAAGCTGATAAAAGCTGGAATAGCTTTATTCTTTTAATTACGAGGAATCCTACTTCATACCAGACAGGCCTGCAGAAGTCTTCTGTAACCCAGCATCCTTCCTCCTCCCAGGCCCAACTAGCCTGCCTTGTCCCAGGCCAGTTTTGGTGTCTCATCTCACTCAGCCCACACCCCATTCCAAACCACCCTCTCCTGTTGCTTTCACCCCCAACCAGTTTGTCACAGCTCAGTTGAAATTACCCTTTCCCTCTCTGACTCATGAATTTCTAAGCTGTTTTGTTTTATTTTTTTTCACAGAAGGGGCTCCTGGGCCTCTTAACAACTGAATAAACACTAGGAATCACTGAACTTTTTACTAGCATGGAAAGGCAGAAGCAGGAAAACAATTCAGCTGCTGAATTTGTGACTCTCAAGCAGCTCAGCTGTTTAAAAGCTCAGGAGCCCCGCCAGGAAACAAATATAATTGGCAACTCTAAGACCTGGTCTGGATGTCACAACAACCCTGGGCTTTTTTTAAAACCACAGGGCTGCAGTGAACAGGGAAGCTGGTTCCCAACACCCAATTGCTCTTATTGAGGCTAAACTAATCAGGGAAGCTCCAACCATACGTTGTTTAGTATGATGTACAAACCAGAAATTGTGGGGTTATCAGGGAGGGGCAACACAGTATTTCCTAGGTCGTTTAGCTCTCACTTACTGCAGGAGTGATTGGGTGGCAGCAGCTGGCATGCTAGCTCCTGCTCTATACACAACAGCCCGAGGTTTTAAAAAACCCTGGGTTGTTGTAATGTCTGAACTGAGCCTAAGACAAAACCAACATGCATTAGGAGCAGCTGATTTTTAATCCTTTTTCTCTCAAATGCCATGTCTCAGGCATTTGTAAATTGGGGATCATTAACCACACATGCTTTGAGAGCCTACAGTGGGAATGCTAAATTGCTGTCACTGGAAGTTCAGAACAATACTGTCTAAGGAGCAAAAAGGGCTTCCTTCTGAATGCAAAAAAAAGTCACAGCTTTCTAATCTGCTTACAGTCATGCTGAATGGCTATTGCTACATTTGGTATCTTATATTCTGCAAGGGTTTAGGAGCTTCAGGATGGGAAATGAAGAACTACGGCGTTGGAAAGAAAGAGGGATAGTGTAAGAAGTGCTAGAGAGGAAGAAAGAAAGTGGGAGTGAGAGCAAATAGTTCAGGCAAGAGGGGAGCTGAAGGCATGAATTGTATTGGGGAGCCCTTCCATGTGGACTGAGCAGCAGGGAACCAGCAGAAGAATAGACACATGTACAAACAGACGGAGGGCAAAGGTTTATAGGCATATAGGCTGCACAGAAACAGGTGATGGAAAGGAGGTTCAATAGAGAAAGCTTTGGACAGGAAGGGAGGAAAAGCAGTTTGTAGAAAATAAGAGATCATAAAGATCAACCAGAAGGGTACAAGATGAATTTCAAATATGGATTTGCACCCAATCAGATATACCTTTTGATTTTTAGTGGGACATACTCCACCCTGCATTTCATTCAAACCTTGCTCTCAGAAAACTTGTATACTCTGTTTTCATACATGGGAACTAATGCAGCAGTTAAGGTTGCAGTCCTATGCCTGTTTATCCCAGAAAAAGTTTTACCACTCCCAGCATTCTTTAGTTAGCCATGCTAGCTGGAGAATGCTGGGAGTTTTAAGCCTTTTCCTGTCTAAACATGCATAGTATTGTACTCAAGACTGAGCTGCAAAGGATGAAGTTCCTGGTTTAAATCTCACTGCTGTCATTAACTCACTGAATGTTGAGTAAATTTTCAGTTTATCAGCTGAATGTAGAATATTTTAAAGTTATTTTTTACTTAGGAAAAAAGTAACATCAACTGAAATTAAGCTACATAACTGATAATACATATGTAAGACTATATCATGTGTACTGGTCCTCTAGAAAGCTATTACCAGAGTTGCTTGTCCAGGCCCTTGTATCCTGTCCTGAATTTTTCTTTTTACAGGTGCATTTTCAATATCACTTAAAGCAGACTAATTAGGCCTAACCCCTTTGACATGTCTTTCATACACAATTCAGGATCCATATGACCTGGTAAAAAGGTGGCTTTTAAATTTTTCACTATTTACATATCATTATCACAGTATCTGGTACATTGCAGAGTAACCCAAAACCACTACCAATATATATATATATATATATATATATATACACACACACACACACACACACACACCAACATTCTTCAACCTGAAACCTTCCAGATGTGTGAAACTACACCTCCCAGAATTCCTCAGACAGCATGGCTGGTTGTAGGATGCTGAGAGTTCTAACTCAATAGATCTGGAGGTTGTCACTTTGGGAAAAGCCGATTTAGGTAATAGGAAAAGGAGAAAGGCAGTAAGAGCAATAAAAGCAAATACAGACAAACACGTTATTACCTTACGTCCTTAATTCTTTCCAGTGACTATCTATGTTGATTTTATTCTGAGTCAGGAAGTTTGGCCACAATACTCTACACACATAATTGAGAATAAGCCCTTTTATGACAATGGATTTTACTTCTGAGCAAACATGACTAAAATCAGGTTGTGTGTACAGAACCAGATGGATAGTTATGTACATATTTCAAGTTTATTTTGAGCTATTTGGAGGCAAAATAATTGTATACGGTGTTGCGCAGTTGGGGGCGGGGGAAAGCAAGCTTCTACTCCCAGTCCTTTCACTTGCCTTCCCATCGCCCCAGATTTTCACCCACCTTACCCTACTGGCTCTTTACAGGTCCTTCGTCACTCCCTTCTTCAGGACTAGCCTCTCCACCCCTTCCTTGGCTCAATTCCATTCTCCTCACCTCCAGCCCCCTCTGTGGGGCAGTTCTTCTCTTCGTCTCCGATCCATTCTTCCTGAGGCTGCTGCTGCTTTCCTCCCTTAGGCATGGCTGATCTCTCCGTTCCCACCCCTCAGTCACCACTTAATTCTAGTGACTCTCTCTCCCGGAATCTAGGCTTCACACATGCACACCTTGGCCACACGGCGCCTGCGCAAAAGCTGACGCAGCGATAACGCTCCTCGGCCCAAACCAGAAAGGATCCCTCCATCCGCCAATGAGCGCCTAGGGTTCTGTCATAGAGATCAGGAAGTGTTATTAACTCCTAGAGCGGCCGAGCAGAGAGGGAACGTAGAGACCGGGAAGTTAGTTATACGTGGTTGGAGAGCAGTAGAGATGTGGACCTCTGTCCCTTCTTGTCTTTACCCCTGATTTTTAGCTGAGGATGGAGGCGGGGACTTCTGTGACTTTAAGAAAGACCCATTTTTACATGCAGGCCCTGAATAATTATATGCCAAGTTTAGGCAATAACTACAACCAGCATGCAGATAGCCTGGTTTTGTCTTACTATTAGTTGTAATGGTGGTAATGCCTACTATTTATCTTTGATTATTGCATTTCATATAAGAATATATTATTTTATGTTATTATTTTGTATTTATTTTAGCCATAATAATATAACTTGTACATTGGACAAAGTTCTGTAATTATGAAGTAAAGTATAAAAAATCTCAAGCAAAATTAAGTATATCAAAGCATTAGCAAGTGCCTGTTGAATTTTGCAGAGATGGTTGCTTCCAGCAAGGCCTGCCATTAATGAGACAATGACCTTATTTAACTTTGTTCTGTTTTCTGCATGTCTGACCAAAACTCACCTGGTAAATGAACCTAAAACAAGCTTTTCTGAAACTGGATGTTGTAACAGATGATGTGGGATGTCTCCTACAATTATGTCATTATATAAAAATAAGACTTAAAATGAATATTCAATGACTGATGTTGCATTCTTACCTGTGTTAAAAGCCTTTTATATATACAACATAGATTTTGAAAGTGCTTCACATGCATTTTCTACTTGTAATCCTTACAACCAACTATGACAAATTAGTATTACCAATGCTACTGACACTTACTAAATGTAGCGAACTTTAGTAGCTAAATTTGGCTGTTAAATTCTTATCTGCTGTTGTGAACCACCCAGAGAGCTATTGTGCAGTATAGAAAAAATAATATTAATAAAAATAAACTATAACTAGCTAGTTATATTCTGTATTACATAGCAGAATTTATATTTTTGCTAATTAGTAATTATGTTTATTGTTATTGTGTTATTGTTACATTTTAGAGACTAATATATAACCATTGCTCTGACAACTTTTCTGATCGGAAAGTGCTGCACACATTTGTTTTATTTGTTTAATAAATAAACAAATAGGTTCAAAGTAACTGATTCATTCAGACTGAACCACTGTGCTACACCAGTTTTTATGGCCATTAAACATGGCTGAAGTTCACGTTTTTGTTGTTGCTAGTTGCGAAGTCGTGTCTGACCCATCACGACCCCATGGACAACATTCCTCCAGGCCTGCCTGTCCTCCACCATCCCCTGCAAGTTCATGTTATCTTGGTCTAATGAACAAAATTCAGTATTATGTAAATATATGGGATACTAAACTATTTCATGTAAAATTAAGCTAAATCTTTGAACTTTTTTGCAAGCTGTTGCTGTTTAGTATGGTAATGTGGCAACCATTTTTAGGCATTAATTCTAGGGTAACTATGCATAGGATTGCAGCTTTAACAGGTGTTGTTGTTCTCAGTACATGCCATCAACTCATCTCCAACTTATGGAGACCTTATGAAAGAAAGCCCTTCAAAATGTCGTATCCATGCCAACCTTGCTCAGCACTTGTAAATTCAAGGCTGCAGAATCTTTTCCGCATTTAATCCATCCTTTATTTATTTATTTATTTATTTGGGACATTTCTATCCCATCCTATACAAACATCTCAGGAATGTGAAACAAAACAGTGTAGTGGCAGCATACAAAATAGAATATAAATATCCAATAAAAACAAATTTAAAAACCACAATCCTTAAAATGCAGAGAAAACAAAATATTTGGTTTTCCTTTTCTTCTTCCTTCAACCTTCTCCAGCATAATTTTCTTCTCCAGTGAGCTGTGCCTTCACATGATGTGCCCAAAGTATGCCAGCTTCAGTTTTGTCAATTTTGCTTCCAGGGAAAGTTCTGACGTGATTTGATCTACAACCCACTTGTTTGTCTTTCTATTGGTCCAACATATTTGCAACGTTTTCCTCCAGCATTATGTTTCAAATGCATCAGTTTCCTTCCTGTCAGCTTTCGTCACTGTCCAGCTTTGACACCCTAAATATGGTGATTGGGAATACAGTTGTGTGGATGATCTTGGCCTTCGTGGGAATCACTTCTTAATAAACATACCCTGGACCAGTTGATTTCCGTAGGCATAAGCCTAATTAATTGAGGTGGGGCTGTAAGTGTCCTATCTCTGTTATTTAAAATAATTGTCATATAACAGCTCTTGTTTGCTTTAAACTGTTCTAGAATTACTTTACATAAAAAATACAACAGTACAGGTGGATTAAATGAGAGCCAGTGTGATGTAGTGCTTAAGAGCATGGGACTGGGACTCAGGCAATCTGGGTTCTAGTCCTCAAACAGCTATGGAGCCAGCTGGCTGACTTTGGGCCAATCACAGACTCTCAGCCCAACCTACCCCCTACCTCACAGGGCTGTTGTTGTGGGGATAGATTGAGAGGATTATGTAAACTGCTTTGAGTTCCCTGTAAGTAAAAAAAGTAGGATATAAAGCTAATTAATAATAAACAAATTTTAATGCAACTTGTATAATTTCTCATCACATTACATATATTAAAAACTATTTTATAATCTTTAGAGACCATATAGTTATATGATTTGAAAAAATAGGAAAAATAAATAAATGACTTCCTATGATAAAGATCCTTGGCACTTTTGCAATCAGATCTAAGCTGACTAGTGCTGATTTTTTTCTTTTACTAACCCCTATGCAACATAGATCAATCATATGGTTATTTTATTATTTGTAAGGGGGCGCAGTCTTTCCCTAAAAGAAAAAAAATCTGTATTTTACTGTACACCAGGAGGCACTCGAGGGTCTATTCACGCCATCAATGGAATACGTTGAATGGAGGAACTTGCTTTATTCCCCTTCCTCCCAACCAAAATGGTACATTCTGACCACCCTTGAGGTCTACTGACCTTCCCGCGCTGAATAGTACAGGCCATTTCCAGAAGTTCTATCATTCGTTCCCCCCCTATTTTTTCCAACGTCACCATCCGTCATTATTCAGTTGGAGAGGGGCCTCCCCTTCCGCTGCGGCTCCGCCCCCTTACTCCGCTCTCATTGGTTCCTCCTATCCCCGCCGAGGAATATTTCTCTTCTGGGCCCCTCCCACTTCTCTTGGTCCGGTACTGCGAGTCGGTGCTGCTAGAAGAGCAAGAGGAGGAGGGGACGGCAGCCGGGATAGGACATGCCCCGCAAAAGGCCGTTCAGCGCTAAGCAGAAGAAAAAGCAGCTGCAGGACAAACGGGAGCGAAAACGGCAGGGTGAGAGGAACCTCGGGAGGGGGCGGGCCCCCTCCCCCATATAACATCTGCAAGGATGTTAGAAAAAACCTTTCTTCTATAAGAGCATGTGCGGTAGATACTCTTACTAACATCTAGCTTCTCGCCTTACCTTGTTATCCTCTCTTGGAGGAGGAATTGCCTCTAATCTCTGCAACATCTGGGTTTCCTGATCATCTATAGAAACATCTGGGTATTGTAAGCCACTCCTCCTCCTCCTCCTCCTCCTCGAAACATTTGGAGGGGGCAGCCGAAGCAGGACTTCCATTATAATAGTTTAGGGCGGGATAGAAAGAAATTGGCTTAGGCGTATGGAACATTTGCAGAAAAATAAACCCGTTCCCTGAAACATCTATAAAACATTTCTCTACCATCCCCATCCTTTGGAACATACGGAGGTGGATGGGTGGGAGATCTGGTGAGTCAGGCCTTCCACATTTTATATGAAAGTGTCCATTCTCCTTCCTGAAACTATTCAGAAGGTCGATTTAGGTACTTGTTTTCTTGCTAAATTTCTAAAGAAAGGTGACCCTGATTTTTAAAAGTAGCTGGATACATGCTGCTTATTTATACGAAGTGACAACCTTCTTTTTCCCACGCGTTCAGATAGAAGCATAGTTCTCAGCTCCTTCCTGAAACAGTTCACCCCCCTACATTTAATGAAATGGTAGAACAAGGCCCTTTTGCTTCATGGATTTTTTTAGAGAGTTCTAACTCCTTGCTACTGGTCTCCCTTTCAAACCATTTTCAAAATAAATCTGCGTTCCCTCCCCAAAATGTTTGTATGGCATGTTTTGACACACACTTCAAGGATGTTTCTGGCTTTGCAAAGCATTTGGTGTGTCTGTTAGATTTTTTTATACACCAGCATCTGCAATGCAGTTATATCACTCTCTCTTTTTCTCCCACTTAAACTGCTTAATGGCATTACCTCTCCTTGCCTAGTATCTCTGGAATGTTGCATCCTTGCTCACCAACAATTGAGAGAAAGCAGCACAATTCAGATGCAGAGAACAACTGCTCTTTGCTCCAAATACATTGTTTTACTTGGGACTGTTACCATTTTTTCTGTTCTACTTTTCATAGTGAATTTTGGTCCGCTTCAGATATGTGTAGGTAGATCTAACTCAGGTTTACTCAGAAGTATGTTCTACAGAACTCAGTACTGCCAAGTAACTGCACCAAACTGCTGCTTTAGGACAGAGGGAATCAGTGCAATAGAGAGTATTGATTAGAATGTTGAACTAAAAGTTCTGGTGAGCTACACTCATTCCTGCTCAGCCATAAAACTCAGTGAGTAAGCTAGTGTGTACTGGGAGAGAATCATGTACACCATCTTGAGTTCCTTGCAGCAAATCTACAATAAAAATATAATAAAATGACAAAAGAATCACTGGACCTGAAAGAATAGGAAGGAATTGAACATTTTTATTAAGGCTGTAGTCCTGAACAGACTTAAAGTTAGTTGCACCAACTTGGACTTATATTTGCACTCAGGATTACAGCATAAGAGTCAGACTCTGCATCAAGCCTGCACATTTTGCAACCCACCAAACTGCATGTAGCCAGCCTCCCAGGCAACTGACAGTAGCCTTATTTCTGCAGTCTCCAGAAGGGACTGCAAAACCATAAGTTTTATACACCTGGTGGCCTGCCATGCAGGACAGGTGTACTCTGTTCAGCGTGATGGGTCTCAGATTACTCAGGCCTTTACCTATCTACTTCTCTTTTGCATCCATAAACAGTTTGACTTTGGCTGATGCGCATGCCCTTCTGTCCCTCAGTCAGATCCTAATAAGAATGATTTACCATGTTAAGAAGCACTGAAACATTGATAAAAGTGTGTGGTGTAAATGCAAAGTTTTCTTTAAAGACGAACAAACAATAGTGACTATCATGTTCTTAAGCGGTATGCCATTCAAGCAGGATTTACTTAAACCATTCATGCTAGTACAACACAATCACATTCAATGCGGTCATTTTTAAAAATAGCTACAGTAGACTAGTCTATCCAATTGTTCCTGTGCTCTCTGGAAGGTTTTGTTGACTGTAGCATCTCTGGTAGATGGAGTGAAAGAGGAAGGTAGTCTTGGAGCCTCCTGTGGGGCTGTGTTAAGTAAGCTTAGGAAATTCATAGGAAGTGGGCATGTAGCTGGGGAATCACCTTTGTGAGAAGCAGGGAGAGTTGATTCAGACTGCTGCTGTGCTAACTGAACTGGAAGCACTTTGAAAGAAAAGCGCTGAGCTTCAAAGACAGGATAAAAACAGCTTTGTGGGGGTTATGAATTGTGTGCTAATGGTACTGAAATAACCTTCCACAGAACTACACAGGCAGTGGGTTTGAAACAAGCATTTTGCATGGCAGCTTGCAGGTAAGAGAGATGCTCTTGGCAGAAAACAGGAAGGTGAACACGTATGTGCGTCACTCTCCTTTACATACTAACAGTGACAGCAGTTTGTCCTGTATGTGGTATGTTTGAATCTTCAAAGCATTCACATTCATTTTTTCATATTTATGTACTTCAATATTTAAATACCCTCTGTAAGATATTCTTAGGTCACCTTTCAGGACAAAGTCCTCTCAAGGTGGTTTACTCTTCCCCCATGTAAAACTATCAAATCACATTTTCAGTGCTATAACACTATTCAGAACATAAGTAGTGCAAAACCTCATCCTGGTTAGATAAGTAAAACTGCTTCACCAGTCAACTTGTACATGCATCAGGATGTCAGAATTTGGCTTATGTGGTGAATTAGTAAAACTGCATTCAGACGGGGGGGGGGGGGCTGCTTGAACAGTGCTTGAGTCAAAGCGTGGGGAAACTAGGGGGCCCTTAGTGAAATCTGCAAGTGACACTCCTGACTCAGCCCACTTCTAGCCAAATCATCCCCTGCATGGACATACCCCTCCCCCAGGGAAACTAGAAGCAAGCCCCTAGATACTGGCCTTCTGCCAGCAAGCAGAAGCATTTTCTTTTAAAGAAGTGCTTGGTCTGTAGAGTTGATTCTTTTAACTGTGGCGCTCTGTCTTTTAATCTGAATTTTACTTTGCTAGTGGTTGTATTGCTTGCTAGTGCTATACACTTCTGTTTGATTTGCAGATAGTTCTATCTTCTGTGTCACTTTTTTCTATTGTAGATTTTCCTATTCTTAGCTCCCTTGGGCATATTTTGTAGAAGACAAGGAACCAACATAATAAATAGGCAAAATAAGAGCACAGCCATGTGCATGTTTAGACAGGGAGAAAACCTGTCTTATAATTCTCAGCATACTTGGCTTGGAAGGATACTGGGAAGTGTAGGCCTCCTTCTGTCAAAGCATTCATAGGATTGCACTCTAAAAGGAGTAGCTAAGGGGTTTGCTACAATAGGTAAGGAAATGCTTGGCCTTTTCAATTTCTCTTCCCCTCCTACCTTGTAATTCAGGCATGGCAACTGTGAGTATGCTCCTATAAACTTAAGCAAAGTAGTAGTTCTGCAGAACCTGTTCAAGTGGAGATGTTTTACTTCCGAACAGCTTGTGTGTTTTAGGACAAGGCTGGATAATATTGTCTGTTCTTCCCCTCAAGAGGATTGTGTTCAAGTAAGCACCTGAAAGATATACAGAGTTCTCCTTGGCTGTGTTTCCCACAGTATCTAGGAATGTGGACAGCTGCCTTAGAGCCCTGTTAGTCCCTTAGTGTATCCAGCCCAGTGCTTGGCCATGGCTTTCTGAGCTCAAGGTTACCTCACCTGCAGATGCTTAGGATTTAACCTGTGACTTTGTATGTGCAAACTGCATGGTCTGTCACACTGAGCTTTTGCTTCTGCCACTGTAGAAGCAGCCATCTACTTTGGTGCAATAGTTAAGAGTGCAGGTCTGGGACAGGTGATCTGGGTTCTAGTCCCCACTCAGTCAGAGAACCAACTGAGTGACATTGGGGCAGTCATGGATTCTCAGCCCAACCTACCTCCCAGGGTTGTTGTTGTGGGGATAAGACAGAAAGCAGGAGGAAGAGAATGATGTAAGCCACTTTGAGTTCATTGTATGAGAAAGTGGGATATAAATCTAATAAATATGTTTTCACATTACCACTAACAAACAATTCAACATTCCAAATCCTTTGCTTGCCTCAGGACTAAGTTATCTCTGGGACTGCCAGTTCCCATATTAATCTGTCAGCTTCCTGAATTGCTCAGTGGGGTCCTCCTGTGTGTCCCAACACCACTAGAAGTATGCCTGAATGAAACTTGGGAGAGGAGGGTCCTCTCAATGGTTGCTTTTGGAACACCCCTTAAGAGGAGGTGGCCTCATCTGCTTTTGCTAATGGTATTAATGCAGCCCCCTCAACCTTGGTTCTTTCCAGATATGCTATTCCTATCATTCCCTGCTAGCAGAGGGAATCCTTGACAGGCGAGGTATGGTGAGGCATGGTCTAGCCGTGCAACATAAACCCAGGAGAGTTGTAGTAACCCCGGTGGAACACTAGGGAAGGAGTACCTCGAGTATCATGTGATAGTAAGCACCCAGCTTCCCCACCCACACACATGCAAATGGATACATGGTGAAGGCAGGAGAGCCAGTGTGGTGCAGTGGTTAAGAGCATCGGACTGGGACTCAGACGATATGGGTTCTAGTCCCTGCTCAGCCATGGAGCCAACTGGGTGACTTTGGGCCAGTCACAGCCTCTCAGCCCAACCTACCTCACAGGGTTGTTGTTGTGGGGATAAGATGGAGGAGGAGATGTAAGCTGCCTTGAGCCCTTTGTAGGAAAAAGGCAGGATATAAATCAAAAAATAAATAAAATAAATCAAATGTCCCTGTAGAGTATATTCTCTGATACCTAAAGTAGCAATCAGCCTTCCAGCTTCATGTCCTGAAAAAGGCCTATGTGTTTGCCTGCCATGTCTCCTCTCAAGCTGGCTGGCAGCAGCTGATAAGGAAGATAGCAGCCTGTGAGTCATCCACTCCCCCTGTTGAGCCCCTTCATTGTGTCAAAATCCTCTCAGAAATATCCACAAGCCCGTAGCAAGTCTTTCTGACAAAGGGCCTTTATGGCTTTCCTGTCAAGGTGAAGCTGCTGAGCTGCTGCAGAGCACAAACCTAAAGTACAAAGCCCAAATTCCTGGTTGCCCTCTTTCCTCCCCGTTACTCCTTCAGCTTCAAAACTAAATTTCTCTTCTCATAGGTCCCACTCCCCTTGCAGGAATGAACCCTGGAATCACTTTTCTTCTGCCTCTTGTATTTGTCTCCAAGTTCCCATGAATCTTGGAGAATTGCTTTCACACCCCTCCCTGCTTTAACCACACACCCTGCCCAGAAATGCCGAGGCGTTTAAAGCAGCGGGGCCCCACCGCCTTCACACAGTCCTGGCTGGCAGCCATTTTCCCTTTCTATCGTGCAACATTAACCCCCATTCCACGCCCCTGTCCCTGAGAATTTGGACTGGACTCCTGTAGTTTTGAATTTTAATTTCTCTTCTTCCAGTTCTTAAGGCCTGTATCGCTCTTTCCCAAGTGCTCAAAGCGTGTTCAGGCTGAGCTGAGGGAGATGAGAAAAACAGCAGGCCCATTCATATGTCCTGGTAAAATAATTAACGTCCCCTCTTTTCCCGCCCTCTTCCTTTTCCTTGGGTGTTACGATTTTTTAAGAGTGGTCCTGTTCATGCAACACAATTGCCCACATCAGTTATTTAATGCATGGTAAGGCTGTAGGGTGGGTGCAGCTGCCATTTGGAATATGCAGCCCCCTCACAGAGGTTGTCATGGCAGGAAAATCCAGCACGTGTGGGTTCTGTGAAATTTAAACAATCCTTAGAACCATGCTTGGTTTTGGGTTCAGCCCTCACACAATCCACCTTTGCCAGGTTCACACAACACATAGAGGTTGCGGAAATAACCCATAGCAAGCCATTGCATGTCATTGGAACCTGATCATTGTAAGCTACTCCTGGAGCCTTTTTGGATGATGAGCAGCATAAAAATATGATGGATGGATGGAGAAATCATCACATTGGACACATTCAGCCCATGTGTTAAGCCATGGTTAAGCAGCAGGTAAATGACCCCAGCCTCCTCCCAGGCTTGTCTGCTTCCCTTCCCTTCTCCTTCCCCCATGCTGTCAAGAGAAGTGGCTAGTTTCAGCCTCCACGTGCTGCCTGGAGTTGCAGGCCACAACAAAACCAAACAAAACTAATGATGGGCAGTAGGCCTGATCCCCACCATGGTGATGCTGCATGCAGGCACCAGTCCTGGTTGTTTCACTGAGTAAAGGGCGGAGCAGAGCTGACAACAAGTACAGTGATTCTGAATTCAGCCAGGCAGGCAGCCTTGCACTGGGTTGAACAAATCATTCAGTGTTGCACCTGCATCACATTTTCCAGGTGTCTCAGACTTCAGGAGAAACAGAAGTTCTAGAGTTTAGGAGAGAGATATTTGAAATTTCATACATTCTGGTCTCTGTTTTCCTTTTGCTGTTTTTCCAGGCTTCCAGGATGGTGTAAGATCCAGCTCCAATAGTCGGAGTGGCAGTCATGACAGGCATGAGGAGCACACAGACACGTCAGACAGTGAATCATTCTCTCTGCAAGTCCGCAAGCTCAACCAGCAGCCTCAGATTCGCAAGCCAGGAGAACATGGCTATGACCCCAACCGGTAAGAAATTCTGCTGCTCTTGATCATGATGATGCTGATGATAATGATGATATTGCATTTATACCCCATCATTTTTCCTCTCGGAGGAACCCAAAGTGGCTTTACATAGCTCAGTTGTATCCTCAGAACAACAAACCTGTGAGGTAGATTACGCTGAGTGTCTGCGATTGGGCCAAAGTCAGCCAGTGACCTTCATTGCTGAGTGGGGGCTAGAACCCAGTTCTCCCAGGTCCCCCATTCAACATTCTCATCACCATACCACACCAGCTCTTAATTTATTTTACACGCATGTATACATATCCCATTGTTTTCCTGCAAAGAACCCAAGATGACTTACATAATTCTCATAACAGTCCTGCAGCTTAGCTTAGGCTAAGAATCAGTGATTAGCCCAAGGAGAGATCCTTCTGGGGCTCCTCACAATCTCTTTTTGTTTAAATAGCCCCAAATAATTTGGTGTGATCAGCAAACTTGGTCACTTCACTCCTTCCTCCTGGTTCCATTCCTAAATCTTGTCCAACAACCTCTCTGCTTCTCCAGGTCAATAGCCTTGACTTCAAGGAAACAAATTTGTTCCTTGAGAGCCAGAAGCTCACTGTACTATACTATACATAAATTATAACAAGCATGCCCATGATTTGAGTCTTAACTGGCAGACAGTCATAAATAATGGCACTTCACACAATACATCGGATAGCCATGCATCTCTTCTGACTTGTACCATCGTAAGTTTTCCTCTTGTTTTTGCTATTATTATTACTACTGCCACTACTATTATTATTGGTATTACAGTGGAGGTTGCCTCTTGTTTGGCATGGCTATCTCTGCTTCTGTCTCCCTCCTCTGGAAGACACAACTGTGGCCAGTGGAACTGTACAGGAAGAACAGGGGAGGGCCTCTCCAAGCTGTGTCAAGGGCTCCCTCCGTTAAACCTGTGGTCAAGCTCAGATTTAGGGTAGGCTTCTCATGGGGCGAAAGAGCAATGGGCTTTTTCACACCTGTTTACTATTGTTAATCTCCAGATTATAATATCCATTAGGTGCAATCCTATGCAAGCTTAGAGAGAGGACTGCACCCTTGGTGAGAATGAATGCTTGTCATCCTAGTAATCCTCTGACTTCCAATCAGTATAACCCATTAACTTCCTTATTTGGCGATCCCTTCTCCTGTGGATGTTAATAATGAGCAAGGGGACAGCCTGAGCATATTCAATGTGGCTTCACTGCAACGTCCGTGGCCAGATTGGGATGGGCTTTTGAAGTTCAAGAATGAAAGCACATTTTTGTGAGAGACTACCATGGAGTAAGTCACTCATTTTAATTCATCCATGAAATGTCTCCTAGCTGGGCAGGTTGCTCGCTTGTACCCTTTGCACTAGAATCAGAAGCCAGCTCTCAAAATGTGATCAGTCTGCTCTGGTCTCTACACTACACTGGGAGAAATTGATTTCATTAATCCATTTGTGTGTTTGATTTGTACCTCACTGTTCTGTCAATCATTTGGAACTCAAGACTCTGCAGCACCAGCACCTTCCACCATCTCTTCCTGCTTAAGAACTGGGATTCTCTAATGAGGTCCCTCTCTGTTGTTCCAGGTATTTATCAGGTGCAAGGGGCCCTTTTTTGTGCTGGCCCCTCACCTCTGGAACGCCCTCCCCTGGCATCTTCCTCACTGCATGTGTTGAAGAGGATAGTTAACACATTTCTCTTTAATCAGACTCTTCAACCCGGCTGGGAATATGGGGTCTTGGAGTTCCGTGTTCGCTGTTGCTTGTTTATATTGCCATACTGTGTTTTGTGCTCTGACCTCCCAAGGGAGGAGGAATTAGATACAAACAAATATTTATATATTTAAATGTTTAGCTAAATAAACATCATCAGGATGCCAGTGAACTCCCCCCTGCCTGCATTGGTGCAATTAAATAATCACTCTTGCCTCCTAAAGCAGGGGGTGAGCAGACCATAGGTTGGCAAGAGTGAACAGAAGGCAGGTTTCTTGCCTCCTAGAGCAGGAGTAGGTCTTCAGATAGTTTGCCCTTCAGCCTTCAGAAGCCACTGCCAGAATGGCCAGTGGTTAGAAACACTAGGAGTTGAAAGTCCAGAAAAACCCGGAGAGCCTCCTCCTGCCCAGACCACCATCCTTGAGGAAGGAGAGAGCATCTTGATCCTGTTCCTTGACTCAGCCCATTCATGTGGCAGATAATCTGAGCCTACCTTTCAGTGCCTACATACTCTGCATTGTTGTCCCTTAACAGCCCCTCCCTCTTCCCCTGTTCCGCTATCTTTTTGTATCTGTTAGGTATCGGCTGCACTTTGAGAAGGAGAGCAAAGAGGAGGTGGAGCGGAGGAAGAAGATTGCTCGGGAGAAGACCTTGGAGCCAGTGCCAGAAGTTGAGATGGAGGTGGACATAGAAGCAGTTTACAAGACTGGTTCAGGTGAGTGAAGGAGGTGATGGAAAGGTGGCTCAGTTAATGGCTGATTCTGAAGAATTTGCATCCAGCTGCTCCCTCTCCTTGCTCTTCTTGCAGTACCTCTCCTGACCTCTGGAGGCAATAGTACAACTTTGCCTTGCTTGCTTACTCTCAGGAGTTTTAGGTGGTTTAAACATGAGCCTTGCAGGAAGAACTCCGGACTTTGAGTATGAAAGTTCTCTTTATAAATTTATTTCTAAATAACATTGTGATCTAGAGGTTTACTGTGATTGCATGCAAAATTCAAACCCATTTTGGTGCTCTGGCCACGTCTTGCAGCACTCTCCTCTGCGGAGGCCTCCTGTGTTCCCCATGTCAGTGGTTCAGCAAGCCTTTGCTGAACTCAGTTTTATTTCCCATTCTTGTCATTATGTCCCCCTTTAAGCCAGTGTGCGGTCTTCCTTAGATGCTTTCTATCTCTGTTTCTTGAGTGGTACCTGGAGAAGCAAAACTGTTGATAGAAGGAATTCCTTGACACAGGGTGTTACTCTTGCCTTAAGACTTATGCTTTCTGCGGATGTTAGCATTAATTCCCAACTGGTATTTCCTGTTCTCTTGCTGTCAGCGCTGGATTTTCCTAAACGTCCACCATGGAATTACCAGATGACCAAGGAGCAGGTGTTGGCCCAAGAAGAAAAGTGTTTCCGGGAATATCTAGAAAATATCTATAGTACATTCCAGCCAAGCCAGCTAAGTTACTTTGAGCACAATCTGGAGGTGAGCCCTTACACGCATTGAAAGGAAACTTGGGTTTGTTCCCATGTGGCTGACCAGGTGGGACAATCTCTTAACCAAACAACCCCATAAATTTGGAGTAAAGTATGTGAGAAGCACAAAGGAACATGGAAGTACTTGCTCTGCATTAGCTAACTTCATTGATTCGTTTTTTCAGATACTTGGGGGCAAGCATTGCGGTAGCTAAGAGGAAGTTAAGTTCATGTAAACCAGGGGTGGGGAACTCCCTTTGTGGGCCTGGCCATCCCCAAGATTATAAGCAGTTGCTTCAAGGTTTTTCTCTTAATAAAATGTTAAAGTAGGTTAAGTTGTGTTTTGCTTGCACAGAGATTTGCGTCACACAATGTGAACCTTCCCCCAACCTGGCACCCTATTTACTGTATACAGATGTGAATCCCTCCAGGGAATATATTGAGTACAGTGACAGTGCCAGCTACAGATCGGGGGAATTGTAGTCCAACACATTAGAAGGACAGCCAGTTGAGAGAGGCTGTCTCTTTCTGTGTTTCCTGCACAGGAAACACTCGTGACTAGAAGACAGTGTGAAAACCACGGGGGAATTGTGCATGTGGGTGAGCAAGGAGAGGCAAAGATACGACTGGCTGGAAGTCCAGTGTTTCTGCACCCAGTGAAGCACACACATGCGGTTTGCACAGATGACCTGCCGCATGCTACTTTTGTGCTGTTTCCTGTTAGAGTTAAATGGGGGGCTAGGATCTGGTGGGTGGTTTGGCAGGAGGGGTTGTGCAGGGTAAACATGACCTTGTCTGTAGTTCCTTCTTCAAAGAGATCCCAGATGTCTTAGGAGCTGGAACTGATGGGAAACCAGGCCTGAATCCAAGTTGATCTCTGAGTGCTAAAAGAACTAAGAAAGAACCCAGATGAAAAGACCTAAATCTGATTGATGAAGGGGGTGAGGAAGCAGATTTTTCACAGACCAATTTTCCTCTTGCAGACATGGAGACAGCTGTGGCGTGTACTGGAGATGTCAGACATCGTGTTGCTTATTACCGATATCCGGCACCCGGTAAGGATGCTTTGGTGTGCTCTTGAGATGACTGCCTGCTCTTCTTGGGCTGAGTTCATATGAACCATTGGTTTGGCTTAAGAACTCCCGTAATGTGCTTTAATTTACTGAGCAGTGGCCTGTGGGCTCCTTTTAAGAATCCGTTCACTTAATCCTCAGTACAGATGACTTCCAGGAGAACTTCCCAATTTCCTTGCTGAATTCTGTCCTCTTTGTGGAGAACTCTTGAATGAACTGTACAACAGTATGTTTTCAATCACTGCTTCAGCCAGAGAAACTTCTTATGATGGTCCTGGGGTTTTGCTAAGAGCTACTTGTAAAGAAAAATTAAAGTAGGTTTCTGCCTTTTTTGAGAGCAAGAGTGAGAACCCAGGAACCACACACTGAAAGGACTGCAGACAATGCCTCCCACAACAGTGTGGAATGCTCTTGTTGAAGATCCTATTATATATGGTTTCTCTTCTCTAGCTTTCTCCCTGCACTTGCTAGCTGTCATATGTTCAGGCCGTCCTCAGGCTGGGTGCAAGGATGAACAGAATGAAGTAGCAATTGTAGGCAGCCAAGCATCTACTCTGTATGGCATTGTAGACTCCTGGCTAATTATTCCATCACCATATGATAGATAGATAGATAGATAGATAGATAGATAGATAGATAGATGGCTGTCCTTAAAGAACTGGAGAGTTTGACCTATCCTTCCATAGCCAATTACTGGATTTTGTGTGATGACGCCTTTCTGATTCACAGGGAGAGCACAAACAGCATTATAGTGACACCAGGTGGCAGAACGTGGTATTACAGTGTATTGTTAAAGCTGCCAGCTTAAGCAGAGGTGGGTACTTTGTGGGTCTCCAGATGTGGAACCTCAACTCCTCATTGGCTTCAGTTGGCATGGCTAGCAGTTAGGGATAATGGGAGTTGTAGTCTAATGGCATTTCGAATGACTCAGGTTCCCATCTGTGAACTAAAGAATGGGAGCATGTAGGCAATCTGCCACCACTGCCTACATGCTCCCATTTCAGAGAATACTGAAAGTATACTGGACTGCAGTTCATGGGTTCTAGTCCCCATGGAGTTCACTGGGGAACTTTGGGCCAGTCACTGACCCTGCCTCACCTGCTTAACAAAGTTGTAAAGATAAAGTTGAGAGGAGGAGGAAGACTGTGTAAGCTTTCTTGGGTTCCTTACAAAGGAAAAAAGGACAATAGCATTATATTTAATTATTATATTTCTACCAAGGCCACTGTGTGACTTATTGGTACAAGCAGCAAACATACCTTCTGTGCAGAGGTTCCAGAGACAGTCAGCAATGTGAACTGTGCTAACATGAGCCCATCCTTGCTTGGCAGCCTGTTCAAATCATGTCCTTGCCTAGAGAAGAGTGAGGCGAAGGATCCCATGCTCCTAGTCCTCACTGCTGTGACTCTCCTCGCCTTTTCCTGCCCAGGTCATCCACTTCTCCCCAGCCCTCTATGACTTTGTGATGAAGCAGATGAAGAAAAACCTCATCCTGGTTCTCAACAAGATTGACCTGGCACCCCCAGCCCTGGTAGTGGCCTGGAAGCACTACTTCAAGAGTCGGTTCCCTGAGATCCATGTGATCTGCTTCACCTCCTACCCACAAAAAGACCAAGATCCCAGTGCAGGTAATTTTCAGGCCCTCGTAACGCAGTCACTACAGTGGTGGCAACGCTGCCAGCATGGTGCTTTGGCTGAAGTGTCATGGTGGGAATTGCTGATTGGGCCTTTCTGAAGGAGGCATGAAGAGCAGCATGTACACAGTTCCCAGCCATGATTCAGGCTGATTGAGGTCGTGGTTCCGTGATGGCATGTAGCAGCCTGGAGGATGACTTGAGATAGTTAGCAAAAGAGCCTGGAATTTTTCCATCTTGTGGGCAAGGGGCTGCATCCAGTGGTAATGAACGTGACTTAGCTAGACCATCCTTGGATACAGCCCAAGGATATTATCCCAGGATAGCACGATAATAATTTCTGAATCTTGATTCTGTAAACAAGCCCTGAGAGAACACCAGCCCCAGGAGGAACAGAGCAACATTTTTCTTGTGTGGAAGGTCAGGAAGCAAGGAAGCTTACTTCCTCTGACCAAGGACCAGTTTCCTTGCCCACACCCACCAGAACCCTGTGGTGCAGTTTAAAAAGATGTGAGGGGAGCATGATTTTGATTTAAAACAAGGTGTGAGTTCCCATGCGCCTTGTTTTAGCAATGAAGTCATAGCTGCTTTGCTGTCCCCTATCAGATTTTGGCAGTGCAGGAGTGGCAGCGTCACTAAAATATGCCAGGGGAGGAAAGTGCTCGCAGTCCGCAGGCCATATCCTGGCCACATTTGAGTTAGAGGATTCTGGGGAGCTAGGAAAGGCCTCTGTTTCATGTCTTGGGAAACTGCTGCAAACCAGAGTAGACAGTTTGGAATAAAGGGGCTCTGCATTTAAGGCAGCCCTTGAGATCTTCAGGTGTAATTCTAAAGCAAAATTACAACATTCCCTTTCTCTCAAAACCAATCGATTAGGGACTTCCTGATGTTGTGCAGTACTTGACCCCCTCTAAAGCAGGGAAATGCCTTTCCGAAAGCTTAGGTTCTGGCAGTAAGAACTTCCAGATAAAACTTGCTGGTATTTTGACTTTTTGTTCCTGCCCCCTTCAGCCCTGCCCCCCACTGGAATGCAGCCCTTGAGAACCTCTCCAGAGGACCTTTGGGCCTTGGGCTGGAAGGGGTTCCTCACCCCCTGTCCCTAATGAACTCTTCCTCCCATATCAACCTACTTATATCCTGAGCCCACCTGCCGAGGTTGCCCCTCCCACCCAAGGGCACGCCGGAGGTTCCAGGCTTATTCCGCGGCATCTGGAGGCAGGGCTGGAAAAACCCCTGCCTGAAAAACTAGATAACTGTTGCCAGTCAGTGTTGACCATACTAGGCTAGATGGACCCATGGTCAGATTTGGTGTAAGGCAGCGCTTCCTTTTTATTATTATTACTATTATTCATTTATATGCTATCTTTTCCCCCATTGCAAGGAGCCCAACGTGGCTTATATAAACCCCCTCTTTTCCCTCATCATAGCCTCACAACAACCTTGTAAGGTAGGCTGGGCTAAGAGTTAATGACTGGCCCAGTGTCACCCAGTGAACGTCATGACTGGCTGGGGAGTAGAACTTGGATTGCTCAAGTCCCAGTCCAGCCCTCCTTAAGCACAGCTCCACACTGGTTTCCCATGTTTTCCACCCTGTTAGCTCCTATTTCTCTTTAGGCACAGGCAAGCTGGATCGCATACTCCTTTCTTCCCCAGTAAGCCTTGTGTTCCTCCTATCTCTGGGAGAGAGTTCAGTCTCCCAACCTTGACCTTCTGGATTTTCTCTCCTGCCAGTGTTTAAGAAGCGCCGGAAGCGCCGGAAGGGTTGGAGCACAGCAATGGGACCCGATCAGCTGCTGAGTGCCTGTGAGAGCATCACAGCTGGAAAAGGTGAGGCTGCTTAGAATCACTCTGTGCTCTTGTGGTGGTTGTGGGTTGTGCTTCCGTTGGCCAGCACCTCTGGGTGTCAGCCAGGCATTTTTGACAAGAAAGGTTGCCAGTGCCCAAGGCTGCTCACGGGCCACTTTCCCTGACCTGGAACTGCCTTCACACAGTTGAACAGGGAATAAATTGTGGAAGTTCCAGGAAAAGGGAGAGACATGGTACTTTGTAAATCACCTGGTAAGTCCCAGAAAAAGGCTGTATAGGAATGCATAAAAGTAAATAAATGCCAGAAGCACTTGAGGTCAACCTGGCCCTGCTGAGTTCTCTGGAAGTCCTGACCACTGCTCATGTCATGGTTTCCCAGGGGTGTGTGTGTGTTTCCAGGGGGGTTCCTTAATATAAAAGTTTGCAATGCCTCTGCTAAGGCTTATTTACATAAGAACTTTAAGTTAAAATTGGCTGGTATTTTGGCCCTACCCTCTGTGCCTTCAGCCGTGCCCAACATTAGGATGCAGCCTTCCAAGAGTCCCTCCAATGTCAAATCCAATCCTCACACTAAAAAGGCCCAGTGCCCCCGTGGTATGTGCTTAAGCATATCCTGGCTGATCAGCATGTTCAACGTAAAAGAGACCTGACACTGTATTTCCATCCTGTTTAATCGGACGAATGCCCCCTCATTCCACCTGGATTTCAGCTCCCAGTTGAGGTGCGCAGGGTGGCAGGCTTCCGGAGCTTTGTTGTTGCGGGTGGCCTTTGCAGTGGCTGCGTTTGTTTTCCTCTTTGGTTGGCATCGCTTTTTTTGCTCTCTCCAGTGGACCTGAGCAGCTGGAAGGAGAAAATTGAGCGGGATGCAACCTGTGCTTGCCTGACACTGGAGGACTCGGAGGAGGACTCGGATGATGACGAGAGCGCAGCAGTGTTAGTAGAGCACCAAACCGATGTGGCGATGGAGGCTGTGCAGTTCTCCCAGGAGCTCTACAAGGATGGGATCCTGACAGTGGGCTGTGTAGGTGAGCGAACCCTCTGCTGGCAGGCAGAGCCATCCAACAAGGAAATGTACTGGAGGGAGGAGGGTGTTTGAGACATGCATTTTTTAAATCAGCGACCAGCTCGCTCTAGGATTTTATCCACTAGAACATGGCCAAACTTTCAGACCTTTCTTGGAAAACTGCAACAAAGGGGCGGGGGGGGGGGGTAGGGGTGTTATTTAATGCTAAGTAACAGTGCCATCTCATGCAGGCCTGCTCTGAAGTACACCATGCAGGATTCAGCGGCTTACTTCTGAGTAGGAGCGTGCAGGACAGGGCTACTCCTAGGTAGAATTGCAGTATGGTATAGTGGTTGGAATGTTGGGATAATACTGGAGAGCCCTGGATTCAGATTCTCTCCAAGCCTAGTTAAACATGAGCCAGCTGCTTTCTCTGCTGTCATAACCAGCGTTTCAGGATTGTTGTGAAGGTAAAATATGGGTGGGCTGAGGAATTGTATAGGAGGCCCTGAGCATTTTGATCAAAATATAGTTAATAATAACTATTGTGAATAGCTATTAATAATGTATTATAATTGGGACTATAGTATAATCTATACTATAGAATAATATCGTGCATTTGGGAAGTAGTATAGCACCTTCTGCCAATTAGAGGGCCAAACTGGGATGGTGTAATGTGGTGTCCTGAAACAGCAGGGGGTTGGACCCAGTGGCCTTCTGGCCCCTTCCAGTTCTGCTGTTCTGTGGTTCTGTGAAATTACATTCCTGCCCTTAGGCTGAAAGAGGCTAATACCACCGCTGTAATTAAATACTGGAGAGGCTCTTGGTAGCCACATGCCAGTGGTGGGCAGGGCCAAAGGCAAAGTTACCAAAATAGCTTCTTTTAGCTTAAAGTAATTGAGATTTAAAGGCAGCATTTAAGACTCTTAGAATGAGGGAAGAATGCACACAGACTGGAAAATCACAAAACACCTGGTCATTAGGGGAAAAGGTGGAGGCAGGGGAAGGAGACCTATTCCAGGGTAAGTGCACATAAGATTGCACCTAAGGCATGCTTCCCCGACCTGGTGCCCTCCAGTGATGTTGAACTGCAAATTCCACCATGCCTGTCTCACGCTGCACACACCTGTACTCCTCCTCCCGCAGGGTTCCCCAATGTGGGCAAGTCTTCGCTCATAAACGGGCTGGTGGGCCGCAAGGTGGTGAGCGTCTCCCGCACTCCTGGCCACACCAAGTATTTCCAGACGTATTTCCTGACACCCACCATCAAGCTGTGTGATTGCCCTGGACTTATCTTCCCCTCTCTTGTGGACAGGAAACAGCAGGTAAACAGCTGTGGTAGGGGAAGATTGGCAGGGATGGGGAGATATACGCACACCTGTGCTGCAGAGGGAGATGAGCGTTCCCACGAGGAACCGTTGCATGAACTGGGAACACACACCTTTGGAAAAGGGAATGAGGCCTGACAAGGTGGGGAGACCTGGTTCCTTGTCTCCCTTCAGTATAAGTTGTGAGTCATGACCCCTACTGGCTGGGGATGATGAGAATTTTAATCCACAGCATGTGGTAGGCAGCAGGTTGAGGAAGGACAGAGTGGACGATAATGGACTGCTTAACCTCTCCCAGCCTAACCTATCCCCCTGCACCGTTGTGAGGATAAAAAGGAGTTCCTAAGAGGGAGCTTGGACTGAAGATGTCAGAAACCGAGAATGTGAAATTATGTTAGAGTTGCAGGTGCCCACTCACACAGTCAAATAATAAGCATGACCTTGTAGAAGCAGCTGGGGAGCAATGGGCGTGGATAAAAGTTCAGCCTCGGACAATTAAAAGATCTTGAGTAGCCAGGGCTTTTGCTAGGAGTTACCACCAGTCCGTGAATAGCTGCCACCAGTCTGCATAAAGCAAGGGGAAGGGGCCGTGGCCCAGTGACAGAGCGTATGCTTTGCACGCAGGACCCGGCCTCAGTCCCCGGAATCTCCAGGCAGGGCTGGGAGAGGAATCCCACCCGCAGGGCCGCTCTTGGTGGCTGTCGCCCGCACTGGGCTGGATGAGCTCCTGGGCTGGCTGGTGCTTCCCTATATTGTTACAGAGACAGACCCAACGGCACCCCCCGGGGTGTTATGCTGGGAAGGAACGGGTGTGAGTGTGGGGTTCTCTTGTCAAAATACAGCATTTTAAGGAAGGGTCCGCTGCTGTGCGGGTTAGGGTTCCCAGGTGCTCGTCTCAGGGAGATGAGGGGCTTGCAGGAGTGTTCAAACTGGGATTTAATGGAGTCGGTACCTGTGCATGATGCTGTTCCAGTCCCACCCCCCTTGAGAGGCGTGAGAACTCTTGCTGCTGTCTCTTGCCCTGCATTTGTGTATTTCTTCCTTTCACTACACTGAGACATTCTTGGGCACACTTAGAATGCAAAGAATACTTTGCAACTGCAAATGTAACAAAGTAATGCAAATGTAATGCAAATAAATACTTTGCAAATGTAATAAAAGACAGAGCAGTTGCAGTTCTAAATGGCCGTGTTTTGCTGCCTCACTTAGACCTTACGCACCCACACTTCTTGATTCCTAAGAGAACAAAGACTCTTTGCCCTGTCTAGCCCCCTGAAAGAAGACAGCAAGGGATAAGAACCATAGCTGAAAGAAAGGGAGGAACAAGAACATTTTATAGCTTGTGCAGCAAGTCCTGACTCCTCCAGTCGCATGAGCACGAGAAGTGCAGTCGGCTTGTGAGCTGGTTTCCATGTGGGAAACGAGCTGTTCTTTATTCTGACTACTGAGTCTCCCTTTCCGCATGAAAGGAGGGGTCACTTGGAGGAGAGAATATAGGCATCTATGTGTCATTACTTTATCACTATCGTTCTCATTGTATCCTCGAGTTAGACATTTCAATCCCAGTTAGAATCCATTAAACTGTTCTTGATGAGCTTGGATCTTCTGGCCCTCTTTAAATGAATGTCATCACTGCAGGAATATTTACCAAAGCTGGGTCCCCCTCTTCCTGCGTACATTGCCTAATCCCATCCAGACAGGAATTCCCTGTTAGTTATCCATTAACACCATCTCCACTGCAGCCCAGTCAGCATGTCTGCAACTCCACACCTCTCTTTCCTTAGTGTAAGAGAGCAATTCAGTGCCTCTTGACCATTTGCCCATCGTATTTAGCAACTCTGAGGTCCTGCTTAGATGATGCCCTCTTCGTATGATGGCTTTTTTACAAATTGAAGCATACCAGAGGTATGATTGAATTGCAAAAAGCACCTCTTCATAACGGGAGGAACTCAAACCAGGATTGCTGCATTCTGTGCTATGCTGTGAAATATGAGAAAGGGGATAGTGAGGAAGAAAATGTTTAAAGGCTTGGTTTTTGCAATTCAGGGAAAAAAACAGGGCTGGAAAGGGCCCAAGGCCTCCTTGGTATTTGCTTTAAGCTGGAGGGGGAAGGAATGTGCTGGAGGAGGTAGAATTCCTGACTTGGGACTTCCAGAGTCTCTCACCATCTTTTGGAAGGGCAGTATCATTTCTATTTCCCCCATTTGTTTGGTCCTTTCGGTCGGCCTGTCACTGCGTAGTAGATGGGGTTTGCAGGCCTGGTAACCAACATACCTGTCCTTTTTTTTTTTTTTTTAAGATCCTGGCAGGTATCTACCCAATTTCTCAGATCCAAGAACCCTACACCTCGGTGGGATTCCTGGCCAGCCGAATTCCAATCCAGGCCTTACTCAAGCTGCAGCATCCAGACGCTGAACCCGGCACAGCTGAGCCACCGTGGTGTGCCTGGGATGTTTGCGAAGGTAAAACTGGCTGGCAGTACCATGAGGGGACAGCCCTAGAAGTAGGTGGGGGAAGGGTTAGGATAGGGTTCAGCCTGAGGGTGCACATGGGTGATGCCGCTGTAACCTTGACAGTGTCTTCCACTTCTTTTTATAGCCTGGGCAGAGAAAAGAGGCTACAAGACAGCCAAGGGAGCCCGCAATGATGTCTACCGAGCAGCCAACAGCCTCCTCCGCCTAGCAGTGGACGGGCGCCTCTGTGTCTGCATGCGGCCCCCAGGCTACACCGCACAGAAAGGTACCAGAGAACAGGACCCTGTTGGAACATTAAGGAACTCTCTATTTGGGGTCACTTTGGGTCTTCCATTCACTGTCTTTTCTTTCTATCTTTGCTCCTTTTTCATAACCTTTAATGGATTATTTTGCTAATTCCTAGTGGGTTTTTAGTTTGTTTTGGAGGGTTTTTTTTTTAAAGTCGTACATTTTCTTTTAAAGCAGCTCATCGCTTGGAACATCTTGTGTTCCAAGTATGGAAAGGCAGGGTGGAGGGAAACTCTATAAGGATATTAATAAAATGACAGCAAGCCTTCAGTTCTATTGGCTTTTACCCTCTTAACTTGTCCACACAGCCATTTTGGCTTTATTTTCATTGTACCCTGCCTTTCTGCCAGAAAAAGGGACTCAACAGAAGGATTTCACAGAAACTAAAATTGCTTAAAACAATAAAACAATCTGTTAAAATACAATAAGATATAACAATTACAGGAAAAAATAGTACACCACACCCATTTCAACAAGACCCACTTACCAACTAAAAGCCTTTTAAAATAAAGTTGGCTTACTTAAGACTAATACAGTGCTGAAAATACGCTGCGTATCAATCCCCTATCCATACAAATTCAGTTTCACCCTCAAATTTTCCTTTAGAATACAGCCCTGCTCTGACCTCTTTTGGGCAGGAGAGGGGACTAAATCAGAGACGTGAACACCTGGCAAGCCAACTTTAGTTTTTTAATGCAGCTTTAAAGCTAGGTGCAATTTGGAGAGTTGTGAAGACCTGGAAAAAAAGCAAATGTCTCCTCCCCTACCCAGTTTCCCACAAATACCAAAAAGCCCTAGTATTTTTCCTCTGTATATTTGCCCTCCCGCCCCTTGAGATCGGCGGCAGAGGCCCTTCTCCGGGAACCCTCTGTAAAAGATATTAGGAGGATGAGTACCTGGAGGAGGGCTTTCTCTGTGGTGGCGCCCCACCTATGGAATGCACTCCCCAGAGAGGTCCGCCTGGCGCCGTCGTCATTTGTTTTTCGGCGCCAGGCCAAGACCTTTTTATTTAAACATTATTTTAATTAATTGCTAACTTATTTATTGGTTTTAAATTATTGCCTGGATGTTTCCAGTTTTTTATGTATTGTATTGTTATTTATTTGCTGGAAGCCACCCCGAGGCTTATGCGAATGGGGCGACATACAAGAATCCCAAATAAATAAATATATTTCTTTGCTTTTTCCCTGGGCCTTTATATCTCCACTGCAACCCTTGGGCTAGGTAAGCTTTGACACCCCCTCCCCCACACGAAAATGTGGTGTTTTGAACAGCCCTGCCTCCTTCCCTGCAGCCATGTGGGAGCATCACCCCGAAACTGCCGAGATTGCTGCCCTGCAGGAGGCTCACCGCCAGGAGGACAAGCACAGCTCCAAAGAGGAGGAGGAGGAGGAGGAGGAGGAGGAAGACGATGAGATCTCTAGCTCAGGAGAGGAGGAGGATGAAGAAAAAGATCGGGATGCTGATGAAGAAGGTGAGGAAGAAGAGGATCCACGTTCTGCTCCAAAGAGTGGCCCCAGCCAGCACCTCCCTTCCCGAAAGGGAAAACTTGCAGGCCGGAACTTGTTTGCTTTGCTTGGGGAAGATGAATGTTAGCAGCTCCCCCTGCTGGACAGACTGACGAGCGGTGGCCCCACCCATGTGCCATCTCATCCTCTCTGTGCATTCCAGAGTTGCTGTATATTAATAAAGGTCCTGTTTATTTCCTGGCCTGCCTCCATGGCTGTGCGGAGGGCATGGGCTAGAGGAGGGTACAGAACCTCAGGACCAGGATCTGAATCAGGCCTGTTTCCCCAGGTAGGCCGCACCCCTGCTGGCCCAGCCATTTGTTGCAGGCACCACCCATTGATGGGGGCTTCCCAGCATTCATGCAGTTTTTCCCCATTCTGAAAGCTTGACGTGCCTCTCTTAAGGCCGAAGCATAAGCTAAAATATGTGGGCGTTTTTTGTATTTTGGCCTCATCCCTTGACCCTTCAGTGCTTTCCACCACCAGAAAGTGGACTCTAAGAGCTTCTATGAGATGAAATGCAGTCATTGGGTTGAAAGAAGTTCTGCACCCTTGAGATAAGGACACAATGCAGTAGTCCCCCGAAATTCGAGAGGGTTAAGTTCCTAAAGCACCCACGAATTGTGAAAAACCGCGAATTTGGTGCCGGCGATGCGGACGGGAGGCACAGGAAGGGTCGGGCTGGGGGGTGGGCACGCGCGCATGATGGGGCAGGGGCAGGCATGAGCCGAGATCGTTTTCTCTGCGCGAATCCAAACTCGGAGGAAACTCTCCTTGCGAGTAAGGCATCGCACGGTGAGGTGCCGGCTTACTTGTAAGGTCAGATTGGCTTGGACTCGCTCAGAGAAAAATCCCATGAAAGACTGAAGCCACGAACGCTGAACCACGACTTCACAGGGGTATACTGTCTTTGCCCTTCCGGCTCTTTCCTCTCTGACCAGCCAAGCTCTCTTAGGACAGACACAAGCAGGACACGGGGCTGCTAACCATTCCCTGTGCTTTGACCAAGGGTGGGTAAAGTGCTCTTGGGTGGTCATCTTTACAGTGCTCTCTACTGCTGATTTAAGTTGGCATAGTTCCTACACAGGACAAGGGTTATCACTGGGCTAAGAGAAATGCCAAGATTTGGGGCAGTACATATGTCTATAAAGACTACAGACTTGCTGACTATCAGGAGAAAAGGGACAGTGAATGAAATGGTGTAGCCTGGGAAAGCGCATGATTGGCTCTCAGAAGCTTCAAAAGGGAGCACGGCCCTGCAACATTTACTTGCTGGTCTCACTTGTGCTGCTTCTGGCCATGGATGATCATGGCTAATACCCCTTGGTAGAATTTTCTTCCGTAAATGCCCCTCACTCCATAACCTCCCTTCAGACTTCAAAGGTAGGGCATACTATAAACATAAAATGGAAGCCCTACGATGAGAGACTGAAAGAACTGGGCATGCTCAGCCTCGAGAAGAGAAGACTGAGGGGGGACATGAGGCTGTCACAAAGAGGAAGGTCAAGCTCTCTTCTCCTTGACAGCGGAATGTAGGACATGGAATAATCAGCTCAAGTTGCGGCAACCCAGATTCAGGCTGGACATCAGGAAGAGCTTCCTCACTGTCAGAGCAATGTGAAATTGGAACCAGCTGCCTGGAGAGGTGGGGGGCTCTCCCACACTGGAGACATTCAAGGTGAAATGACAGTCATCTGAGTGGGATGGGACTTGTCCTGCACCAGCAGGTGACTGGACCAGTCAGCCTACCTTGTCCCTTCCTACTGTCCTATGAATCTATGGGTGGAATCCTATCATCCTATGTGCCAAACACGGTGGGATCGTGCCAGCTTCAGTAAAAAGACGAGAGCCATCTTCCCTTCCTGCCTTGTATCTCATCAAAGGTTTTGGCAAAGCTGCTTTATGTAGACCACTTGGCCACCATGATTACGGTTGGAGATGTTGCTTCATGTCCTGCCACCAGCGCCAGTCTGTTTGGGTGGCCTATTTAACAGGGTCTTCTTGGTGGTTACCACTCTGTAGAAATTTAACTTCCAAGGACCAAAGCAGAGTTCTGCTGGATCAGACTGAAGTCCAGCATTCAACTGCAACAGTGGCCCACCAGAAACCCACAAAAGGATGTGGGCGTAGCAGTGCAAAATGCTGGTCGGGCATCAGGACTAGCTGCCACTGGTACCCTTTTCTAATTTATTTATTTAAAACTTTTGTATCCCATCCTATACATGAAAAAGTCTCAGGATGGTCCAAGAACAAAGGCATAGGACGACATCTATAATAAAAGCCTGACTCAAATAAAAATTAGGTCTTAAAATAATGGAAAAATAAAAAGGCTTTATCTGGCCTGGCACCAAAAAGAGTAAACTGTTGGTTCAGGTGCACCTCTCTGCGGAGCATGTTCCACAGCCAGGGCGCCACCGCAGAGAAGGCCCTTCTCCAGGTAGCCACTCCTAATTTTCAGAGGGCTCCTGAAGGAGGACCTCCGATCCAGATCACGGGGGGGGGGGGGGGGGGG